ACAACTATCATTACATTACCAAACCCCAAAAGACTAATACCAAAAAATCCAAGCATCGCATTAATATGGGGCCCATTAACACCCGCATCCGACAACATCCCCGCCCTATCCGCCATGATTGGTCTTCAATTCTGCATTGGGATCGGATTCTTCCGGACAGCATATAGATTAATCAGATTAGGTCGTATACCTCCGCCCAACCCCGCCGCCTATCCCGGTGGGACAGGTTATATTCCTCCGCCAGTAAGGACATCGTGGTGGAAGACTGGGGGTGCGGTTGTGATTGGGTCCGGAATGATCTTTGGAGCCGGTTTGGAATTGTCGAGATTGACATTGCCTTATGACCCCTGGTATGAAGAAGCCCAGCATTATCGAAAGATGGCGATCAAACAGGGTGATAAACCAAGTGCATGGTTTGGTGCTTATAAATATTATGATCCGTTGAGTTTGGATAGTTGGATTGAAAAAGTTGGTGATTGGATTAAGAAGGTTGAAAAACGGATTGATGATCCTGATCATTTTGCCAATGTGTCGATTGAATTGGCGAAGGATAATAATGTTATAAAACCGGGTGAGAGAGGGGTGCTTGGTGATGGTAGTCGTGGCCTTTTGAGTAAATTGAATAATCAGGGGAAATATTTGGAAATTTATAATAAATTGAGAGATACTAATGATCATAGGAGAAAACATTTATTAGAGGGTGAATTGAAAGATGTTGTTGAATTGAATAAAGCGGAGAGAATAGATGCGATATTGGAAGGGAAATCGGAATTGGTGAATCCGGAATATACAAAACCTAGTATTCAATTAGGAAATCATAGAATGATAGATGATGATGATTTCGAAATGGTTTGGTTGAATTTTGAACCTTGGGATGAATTGAAATTGGAAACTGATTATGATATTAGGTTGATACCTAGATGGGCATGGGATGATGAGGAGGAAGAACATTCCGAAGATGCAGCACATCCAAATGAAGTTGAATTGCCGTCTAATTCAAAAGGAGTAGAAACTAATTTATATAATATGTAAGTGATTTTTCCTGATAATGATTTATTAATAAATTTAACGTTATATACCGATATTTAAATACACATCTCTCTCAATTGGCTGATTGAGACACCACTCTCAATTGTCTGACTTTTCAATCAATTCATCAGCCCATTTCAAAGCACCAGAATTCTTAGTCCCATCAACCCCAGCAGCATGATAATTATCAATATGCTGTTTCCATTTAATATCCGCTGGATCTTGATCTGGTTCCACCCATTCAAATCCATCCCCACCAGTCATCCAATATGCTTGAAACTTAATATCTTCCAAACTATCTTTTGCAGCAAGTAATCTGATCTTTTCTCCATCTCTAGTATACCCAGGAGTCAATGACGTTTCATTTTGTGAATTTTTAGGAGCCGGTCTACATAATTCATTCAATATTTCTGGATTAGATTCCCCACGATTTAAATCTCGATCAGCTTCTACTATTTTGGCACTAAATAATAATTCATCAGCATGCTTAAACCAATGAGTATAGAATGTCCCTTTTTGCCATGCTAAATAATCACCACCGGATGAAACCATTTGTCTACCCAATTTCACAATCGTGATGAAAAATGTGGAATTGAAAAGATAAGTTAAAATAATTGAATTTAATGATGCAAGATGATCAAATACCGGTGGAAGATATCCTGAATCTATAATTATATGAGTACCAAATTTAGTGAATAAGGTTATACCCACAGCGGTTGAGATTAATTGAATAGCACCCTTTTTAAAAATTTGATGATTCTTGAGAATATAATTTGGATGACCAACTGTTATATCAGTTAATTTAATTGCCCGTTCAAAATCAGCATTAAATAATGCATTCCTCAAAGCAACCAATGCGGTTTCCTTATTAACAATAGTTGTATTCCCGGGGTTTAATCGATAATAATGATTGATTATCTTAAGATTAAGTTCAGTAGGAAGGTTTAATAATAAGATATCTTTCAATAATGATGGAGAGAATTTGACCTCATGATTAAAGATTTCATCAACGATTTGAATTGATTCTTTGGTTAATTTTGAATTTGAATCAAGTTGGTCTTGGATTGGATAATTGATTTGAAGTGATTTACAGGCTTTAAGTGCTTCAATTATTGTTTCTGGTTCGGTGGTGGGTGTGATTGTTTCTTGAACTTTTTGAGATAATTTATCATAATCATTGATATATGCGAATGAAGTTGATGAGTTGAATCTTAAAAGAGATATAACTGGTAGTTTGGAATGGATGTTTATAGATGTTCTTTGGACTAGCCTACTTCTAAGTAGAATAGATGTTCGTATCATTATGAATAGTGCCTGTTGTCTTTTATGTATGGAATATCTCTCTTAATGACCATTAATGGAAAAAAAAATTGTGAAAAATTTGAACTGAGATTAAAACCGCACAAACAAAAATCAAAATGGATGAACTTTCTTTCTTTCTTTCTAGGGATAGAAACGAAAGTGAAGGTGTATAATTAACAAACAATTGATAACATAATGAATAATCTATCTATATCGTCGGCAAAAGTTTGATATTTCAATAGGAGTTTGTGAAATGTAAGTTTATAAAAAACTGTTGATGATTTTTGCTTTATCAACTAAACTTTACATTTCATACATTTCAGTTCAAGCTTATGTGGATGATGTACATAAGTTAGAATTGTGTTATTATTCGCTGGTTGAATACACATAGCTTTTAAGCATTAGATAAGGAGAGAACATGAATCCAGAAGAGGTTATGTATGATTCAACAATCAAGACACAACACATACCACTTACACTTCCTACAAAAGATACCCATGAACGTATCTTATATTATATCTCTATATAAAATAACAAAATAGTGTCTATAAAAGACTGCAAATGTCCATCTATAAAATCTTTATAAAGTAATTGCCATAATTGCCGCAAGTTCCCTACAATCCCAAAGCACCACTCAAAACACCAATAACAACAGAAACAAAAATCATCTTCCCACTAACTACTTCACTCACACCCCCATTCGCATTCTTAACACCAGACAGTGTACCACCAGTAGCTGCAGCGGAAGTCGATCTCAATACTCTAGTAGTCACAAATGTAAGCCCCTTAGTCGTACCATCTACCTCAGTATTAGGATTTTCATCCGGACTTGGTCCATTAGTAGTAGTTGCTTTAGAAGCTGGGTCGGTATGAGTAGCTTTATAGGATGCAAGTTGGGCAGCATTCATGGTGATTGTGAGTGAGTATTGGCTGAGTTGGGATGCATTCATGGTAGCTGGATCTGCTGGACCAGTTGCGGTTGTAATAGTTGTTGGTAGAGTTGTACCGGTTTTAGAAGTGGTGGTACCTGTTTTCGTGTTTGTACCGGTAGTTGTAGTAGCAGGATCAGCTCCGGGAACGACTGTGGTAGGAGTGGTGGTGGCTGCTGTAGTGACTGGAGTAGTGACTACACCATTAAGTGGAGTAGTTGTAGCGACTGCACCATCGACAAGAGGAGTAGTTGTTGTTGTGTCAACAGCGGCAGCCGCAGCTCCATCTGCTAAAGGAGTGGTAGTAGTAGCTGCAACACCAGCATCTGCTAATGGTGTAGTTGTATCAGCTAAATCCGCAGCAGCACAGAGATGACCAGCAAGGAGAAGTAAAAGTAAGGCAGACTTCATTGTTAAACGAGTGACTTATAGTTGCTATGGATGAGTTTTGAAACAGACAGACAGAAAGGATTATTTCACACACAGGAGTTTTTTAATTTTTTTTTTTGGTTTGAACCTAGATGTCTGTCTGACACAAAGTTTATTTTTTATTGATCCTCGAAAAACCCCTTGTATTTCCTGTTTCAGACAGACAGACAGATTTATTTTTTTAGAACGCGTGTGGCGAAGTTCACTAAGAAATTTATTTAAATCTTTACTTCTACAATTTGAACATTGTACAACCAATGAATATCCGACTGGGTTGTCGAGTTTTCATCAGGTCATTCGGTTTTTGGTTCGTTTTTTAGTTTTGCATATGCATGCCTTAGTTTGATATCATCAGCAGAACCAGCCTCTACAACCATTGCGAAATCCCAACGTATTTCTCACCAATTGTCAATTATTCACATTCCCATCATCACAATTTTCCCTTTTTCATTCTGATCATCGTTGCTACAAGCCCCGAATCTAATCCCAGATGGATTATCATTGATATAATTAATCACGAGATTCAATTGCTTGTTTCGTTACTTTTTCTGTTGATGTTCAGACCATAATTCCGGATCATGAATCTTAAGCGTCCAAAAAACGTTAATTGGGCTACCCAAAATATGTCAAAACATAGACCAACAATAGTTATAAAGATACAACGGGATTTTCAGTACTCTCTAAGCAAACATAATCTAAAATATGAGAGTCTTTGTAGGCACTCAAATCGTTTCATAAAATTGGCTGCAAAAGTACTTTAGTGCTAACTATAACACCTCACCTATCAAAACTTACACAAAATATAGCATATCCGCAAATTGTTACAATCCCAAATTCTGCATCATCATACCTTATCACCGAAAACACCTCTTTACATATCACCCCTTTAACAACAGAGGCGGAATCCATAAATAGAGAGGGTTTATGGTTTTTAGTGATAGTTTCTCTAAAAAAGTATTTTGCGCTTTTTGTTATACATTTGCCACAAAAGACCTCTGCAAAATACATTGTAGAAAATGTCGTCTTTTTTAACTAAAGAGTGACTAAGTTGGTGAATATCCTGATAATTAACATCTGAGGCCGAATCCATAAATAGGGAGGGTTTATTTCATTTAGTGATAGTTTCTCTAAAAAAGTATTTTGCGCTTTTTGTTGTACATTTGCCACAAAAGACCTGGCAAAACTACTTTACAGAAAATGTCGTTCGTTTTGCTACAGGGGGACCAAGTTCGTGAATATCCTGATAATAGGAGGGTTTATTCTCAGTTAGAGAGAGAAGAAGGAAGAAATCCGGTCAAAAAGCTTTTGGTGGAGGGACTAATGCCACTAAAATTCGGAAATGTGAGAAAATGGCTGCAAAATTATAGATACCCAATGCGATGGAAGCTAAATTATATGCTTACAGGAGAAATGATTCAAGCTTTTGGAACCGTTAATGTAAAAGAATTTCCTCGCAAATCTCTTTTGACAAAGTTGCATACTGATAAAGAATCTATCCCTCCTAAGAAATGAATCCGTGACGTAGAATGGAAAGTAAATGCATCCTCTGAAATTCCACAATCTGTTACCAATAGCTATCTAGTCTTCTGTAAAGCGAGAGAGTATAAGAAATAAAGCAATTCATCTTTTCAATCAGCTATTCCCTGGTTTTTGATTTCAGGTTCTGTTAAGCGCCCTACTATTGGCTTCAAATCTGATGGGAATGACTATATATCAACTCTTCTCTTCTTTCTACGATATCAGTTGGGAGATTTGAGTATTAACCAACAGACAGCTGAAATACACAAGATACAATACAAAGCTCTCCAGAACTTAAGGTCATATTAAATCAAATACAAAGCTCTCCAGAACTTAAGGTCATCTTAAATCATTACTTCATTAAATCTTTTCTATACTAATATACAAAGCTACTTAATTATTCTTTCTCTTCTTCTTTCTCTTTTCCATTTTTGGAGCACAATCAGGACAATACCAAATTTCATCATCTTTAGGAGGAGAGGTTATCCCCACACAACTCCAATGAAACCATTCATATTTACAATCATCATTATCACATCCAATCATTTCTCCAAATGATACTCTCTGACAGAAACAATATAAATTATTATCAGCATCTTCACCACCTCCACCATTTCCAACCCCTGGACCACCATCCATTGAGCTTGTACCCATCGGTCCGAGCGATACACTACCATTGATGGCCAAGGATCCAGTTCCACCTCCAAATGCCAATGAATCCTCCATTTCTTCTGATCGTAATCTCTTAAGTGGTCTTGAAGATGCTGATGTAGCCGATCCAGCCAGTCCAGTAGCTGACATAGCGCCACCTCTGTTTGTTAGTGCTTGTTTCCTCTTTTGTCCTCTGCCTCCTTTGACAACAACTTCTGGTCCCGGGGTTATTGATGCGCCGTTTCTACCTGGAGTTGGAGTGGCAGTGAAACTATCGGATAAATTACTGGATAATTCTTCTCTACTTATGATTTCTAAATCAAGACCATGTTCTAATGGAGGCAATAGTTCATCACGTTCTAGTTTTACGATATCAGTTTCAAAATTGAATAAATGTTTTGAAATTAGAAATAAGGCAGTATTTGCGAGTAAGATCTTTTCCTTTTGTAGTTTTATAATCTGATCCATATCTTCTTGAATCTTATTATATAATTGTTGTTCTTTTGGATGTTTAGTCAATGTACCATTTGCTCTTATGAATTTATGAAGTTGATTATCTTTAGTTTGATATCTCTTTTTAGTTTCATTAACTTGAATATCCTTTAATTTGATTTCTTGTAATAAATGTTTAACTTCCAAAGGAAGATTAGACAAATCTTGTGTATACTTCTCTAATACCGTAGATGTATCCATAGTTACTACTCCTTGTCTATCTATCTGCTCTCTATACCTCCGGTGGATAGTTGAATTACTAAGTCAGACAGACAGACAATATCAAAACAGACAGACAAAAATTTTCTATTGCCCCTTTTGGGTTGAGTCGTGTATAATTGATCAAGTATGGATCAACACTTTTTCATTCACAACCACCATCTTCTCTTCCCTTGCAACTCAGCACCCTTCAATTATGTCATTGATTGAAAGATTAGAGAATCTATCAATTGAAGACGCCACATTCAAAGAAGATCTTAAGCAATTTATTTCAGAAGACGAAAAAGAAATTGAACAATTAACATCCAAACAAAAATCACAATTACATAGAAATCTCCTAAAGTATGCTCAAGACAAAGAACATTCCAAAGTATTATATGAATTGCTATTAAATGATCCTGGACGCTTCTTGAAAGGTTTATACACAGCCAATGATTCATCTGCTTCCATTATCAGACATGTCATTCTCAAGAATAATGAAAAAAATTCAGAAGCATTGGTTCAATCATTATTCAGTACAATTAGAATCATCTTGAAAGATAATCATGATCCAGAAGTATACAAGTTCTATTTAGGTATTTATAGTTCTTTGGTATCACATTTCCAAATGACAAATCCTCAACATTTGAATTTATTTTTAACATTTATTAGTCTGGATTATGAAATCCAGAGAACAATTCTTGTATCATTAGTTCAAAGTTTACAATTACAAAAGAAGATTACTTGTGAAATTGTTCAAGAGTACTTAGAGGTTATTATGGAAGAAGAAACACTTGATCCTAAAGAATTTTTGAATTTTGTAATTACTCTTGAATTATGTTTTCCAATGATCCCGGAAATAATTGAAGGGATATATCAATCAGAAAAGACCAAGAAGCATATCCTTTCCAAAATATCCTCCAATCCAGAAGAAGAAATGCATTGCGCAATATTAAAACTCATTAGTGCGTCTTGCATAGTTGAAAATTGTCGTACCTTCAATGTTTCCAATTATTATGAATTCCTAGTCAAGGGAATCCAATCCCCTAACCCCAAAATTCAAGTATTGTCCAGTGTTACTTTAGTTAAATTATGGAAATTCGTTGAATTAGAAAAGAAATCAGACAAGACAGTCAATACTAGAATACTCGCAGATACATTAATTTCATACTTGAAACAGACACAGGATGTTGATGAAGCATATATTGAAATTGCCATTGAAGGAATGATTTATTTGACTTTATATTGGGAAGTTCGAGAATTGATTAGGATGGATATTGAATTTATCGAAGTCTTAATTTCTAAGCTTGAACAACAAACTACCGCTCTTCCAGGTGATACGCAAAAGCTTAACTTTCCATTTCAATACGGTATTCTTTCGATCTTTGTCAATCTCACCAAACTTCAAGACATAAATGATAAAAATACAGCTAAGGATATCAAAAATCTAGCAACACCAAAACCTGGATCAGATAGTAAGAAAGAAGATCAAAATGCCATCAAATTATTCAATCGAGAATTATTATTCGAGAATAAAATCATTAGCAAAATCACGAGCCTCAAATCTATCAAAGGTACGACTTCTCAGAATTCATTCAATCAAGTTACAAAAATCTTATACAACCTTTCCTGGGATCAAGACAAAAAAACCAGACTCGAGCTCGTAAAACAAGGTGCATTAAATATATGCATAAACTATCTTGTCAATTTCAGTGACGTCAAACAACGCCAGGATCAAACCATCTACTCGTTCCCAAAACTGAAAGACCCATCAGTAATCGAATCCAGAGTATTCGCAATCAGATCCCTCGCCAGACTATTAATCTCCGTCGATCCAAGACTCGCCCCCTCCTCCAAATATGACATCCCCACCACTGCAATTCCATTCTTGAAAGAATTATTAGGACCCGATATGACAAACTACACGCCCGGATCTCAATTCCTTCCAGAATCATCCTCATATCTTCAAGAAATGACACTACTCGATAAATTCGAATCCCTTCTCGCACTAACCAACATCGCCACCAATCCCGATCTTCGTACCTACATCGTTCGTCAAACCTATGATTCCTATCTCGACACCCTTATCCTCGACGCCGATAATCCGGAGATCCAAAAAGCGGCTTGGGAACTAGTGGCGAATTTGATATCTGAACCCATCCTCCTCGCGAAATTTTTCAATATCGGCCCCGGTGAAAACCAAGCGGCGAATCGAAGACGATTGGATCTTGTGGTGAAGTTTTTGAATTCGCCAAGGGTGGAATTACAGCGGGTTGTGGCGGGAATGTTGGCGAATGCGACTATTGAGAATGATGTGATTGTGGAAGTGATTGTGGGGGAAAGGGAGGTGTGTGATGCGTTGATGGATGTGATTGCTGATTTGTTTGTGAATCAGGCGGACGATGAGGAGTTGATGTATCCTGTAGGATATTTGTTTGTGGATATAATTTGTGGCATGGCGAATAATGAAACTGATAGTGGAAAAGAGATGTTTATGAGGTTGAAGGAGAATAAGAAACTTAAAGATGGATGTGGGAATGTGTTGAGGAGGTGTAAACGACCAGATGTGGTTCAGTTCGTAGGGGGAATGATTAAAATTATACAATTTAAGTAAGTAATTAATAATTATATACTTTTCATAGAAATTATATAAACGTTCTATATAATAAGAATGCAAATTATAATCGTCTTTGCTTTGTTTTTAAAAATGCATATATCTCTGAGCAATTGTTGCATGCTCATGTTCAACATTCGAAATCGAATTCTTAATCTGTTTTGACCCCTTATCACTCTCCATAGTCACCTTAATCGCCCGATGTAAATTGGTTAAATATTCAGGATATGATGGTCCACTAGTTGCAGTCACCGCCCCACCAAAACTATCATCCATCAACATTTCTCTAAAGGCAAATTCATTCCCATCTAATCCTTTTCTCACAATTTGAATCCCAGCACTACCCAACCCCATCAATCCAACAAGATGGGATTGGAAATATCTAATGATATTACGAGCTTGTTGAGATATTTCCGTTTCCAAAACCGGTAATTCATCCATCAAGGGGTTTATATCCTGAATAGACCCCACCGAATCTCCAAATAAATCCCTAAGTAACATAATATTCGCCTCTGGGTCAATCCAGACAAATACCTTCAACCCATCACATAAAATATAAACCCCACGATCCAAACTCCGATTCGAAAGATCTTTATACACCGGCAATGAGATAAATTCCCGATCTTCCGACACCCAGTGTCCTTCTTCCAGTTCTAAGGAATGTAATTCAACCAAAGCGGGATAGAGATGATACATCAATCTCTCCACTGGCATATTCAACATCGCAAACACATCAACTAATCGGGTATCTGAATTCACACTCTGCTGGGCTCTAATGGCCGTGGTTTTGAGGAAGGATAGGATATAAGTTGGTAAATGTTTCAACAGATCGGGGAATAGGAGTTTATTAGTCATGATGGCAGCCAGATTGTGGTCATATTCGTTCATAGCTCTATATCTTGCGAAAACGTCAACTAGTTTATTATTCAAAGCTTCACGGAGTTCGAGGAGGGTTTGTTGACCGATGAAAGAAAGGGTGTCCCTGACTATGGTGGTTACGATTGCGTTTTCATCGGCGAAATGGAATACATCTTCGAGTTTCTTGGTGACGGCAAGAACGAGGTTTATGACTCGAACTTTTCGAATTCCATTGGGGTCAGTATATAATAATGCCGCTTGGAAATGACAATCTAATTTCGTACTTAATTTCCCATCATATTCTAAAAGAACCGTAAAAGTTTGATCTTGATTCAAGACAGGTATAATTGGATCCTGTACTGTCCCAGCCACCATTGAATTCGCTTCAGCAATGGATGAAGAAGTCCCATAGTATTGAGCAACCTGTAATCCATTCGAACATCTCAATTTCAATTGTCCTTGATATCCCGTCAATTTCTTCACCGAACCCACAATCTTGGCAGTCACACTCCTGGCATCCCGTTCAAAATTGAAATTCGCCCATCTAGTCACTTCACCTCCCGTGACAGAAGCTAACCAACCCACATTTGAAAGATCTACGGGAACATGTGAAACCACAAACACATCAATTCCGACATTTTTCGAAATGAAATCCTTGGCCAAAGTCTTATAATATTCATTATCAGGAGTATATAATCTCTTCTCGGCCTCTGCTGTCACAGCAACCCTTCCCACGGCTTTATTATCCTTGAATTTCAACCCCCCGGGGCCCCAAGTTGGTAAATTTGATAAGATTGAAATAATCTTCCCCCCACCTCCAACTGAATCCAAACACATCATGATGGTACGACAGGCGGCGGCAAAACACGGTTCGGGGTCAAATATTCTTTCTGGATCACTACTGAATCGTTCGATGTAGTTTAGGGCATCGTCGATGACGAATCGACTTTCTTCAGGATCGACAAAGAGTCCATCATGGAATGGAATGAATGGGTCTTCTAAATCGCCGGAGATTGAGATTTCGGCACGTTCTAAATTGGGCGATAAGTTGAAGAAATGGATTCGTTTATCGAATGCCGCAATTGCGATTTTTAATTTTGGTTTCTCGTCTGGTAATTGATCTTGATATTCTTGTTCAAAATCGAATAATGTTGCTCTGATTGCATCGGCTACCAAAAGGGGGATTTTCTGTTTGATGCTACTTTCAGATATATCTATCAAAAACACAAAATGGATTGGTTTTGGTTCAACACCAGCGCCACCGAAATTATATTCTTTAGGAACAAGAATATCATAAACACTTTTATGTAATTCTGGTCGAATAAATTTATCTAATCTATAACCATTATTATCCAAATATGAAGCATATTCTTCGGGAACGATATTATTAGGGAATTGACAAATATTACATACGAATCTTTGAGTATGAGTGAATTGCATCGATGGGTTTACATAACATCGACAACGACGACATCTAAGTGGACCAATACTCAATGGATCTTTTTCCTTTTCTGATCCATCATTATCACTTTCACTTATTGAAATTTGTGATTGTTGATCTCGTTGAGAGAAATCAACTACGGGGATTGGATCTTCAGTCAGGAGTAATGGTGCAAATGGTCGAATCGTAATTGCTAATGGTAATTTTGTAGCTGCTCGAACTGGTTCAGATTCAGGCACGTAATACATTGTTGATCTCATGAATTTTGACAGGGCAGTACCTTGATCGATTGCTTGGAATTGGGTTCCAGCTTCAGGTGGGATTGTTTCTGAAAATGTTAAGAATGGTTTTAGATTACCTTCTTCATCAGGGGTGATGTATTTCTTTTGATCTTGATATCTGTGTAATTGTAATGAAAGATCATTTGAACGACCTTGATTTTGGGTGGTAGTCATATCTTGTAAATGAAATTGATCTACTTGTGGGCCGCCTATTGATTGTTGTTGTTGTTGTATTTGCTGCTGGGGTTGATGTTGGAATTGTTGAATTGGTGGGGTAAATTGTTGACTAACTCCAGGATAGGGTGATTGTAATTGTTGTTGTGGTCGAGGTGATGCAAGTGGATCAGATGGAAATCCATATGGAATCCCTGGACTAGGTACACCAGTAAAAGTATTTGCATGAGAAGGGATTGGACTACCTACAGTACTTCCAATAGGAGAATTGAAATCGGAATGATATGCTCTCATTGTTCTTTTTGACTTTTTCTTATGACCTTGTGATGGAGAATCTAATGCTAATGCTTGTAAATGAGAATTAACTTCATTTAAGTTTTCTCTAGATCCTTGTCGGCTCATTGGTCTACCTATTCCACCCCCAATACCTGGTGGTGGTGCTAGATATGACATATTAACAAAATTGATTGTAAAATCTATTCAAAAGGCTGTCTTTGTTTGATTTGAAGACTTATGATTTAAACTTGGCAGCACATTTTTCTATTTACTTTAAGGTCAACGAATTAAATAAAATTTCAAACCCAAAAAAAAAAAAATTTCTTAAATTAAAAAGTCACGTGATTAGTCATGTGATCAGATTTATAATATCATGTGACTTCTTTTTGGTAAAAGGTACACGTATAATACACTAAGAAAAATAATTACCTCCAAGAAAAAGCAATTAACCATAATAGCCTTAAGTAAGTTTAACATCCGCCTCTATTATTAAATGTACAGTTAAAAAAAATACAGAGATATAAACTGAACTGATTTTTTGTTTTTTATTAAAGTCATGAAATTATAATACTTATAAAAATTTCTTGGTTTTAACAAATACACATTACACATACACATTACACATATACACTAACAATCACTAAGGAATAAAAGAAAGAGAAGAAAGAAAACAAAAGAAAGAAATTTTTAAATTAATAAGCTTTTTCATTTAAATTTCTTACGCTATATTTAGTTAACAAATTAATTAAACTAGGTCTTATAAAAGTTTGACAAGAAAACAACAAACAACGATACACAAATTTATTATATAAGAATAACTTGTGCATTTCATTACAGATTAAGAGATTCTTTAAGTTAATTAATTCTTAGTATTTTTATTAAGAAAAATCGATTAATTAAATGGAAACTTTTATATAAATTGATAACAATTTCTTGAATTTTTTATATAAAATTTATAAAAAGAAATGGGTTTAATTGGATTTGGTAATCAAACAATGTTATATCTTCAAGAAGAAGACATTCCAATTAATTGTTCAGTTTATTCATTAACTTCTGGTTTATTAGAAATATTCCATTATCCTGATTTATCAATTAATAATAATAATAGTGAATGGTTAAATTTAACTAATCAACAATTTTTACCCGCTTATTATATTACAAATTGTTCAATACCTGATTTAATTCAATTAGTTAATAAACTGTTAGTAAATGATCAAACTCCTGATTATGTATTAACAAGATATAAACAAAAAGATAATGGTGATACTTTTGTTGCCTTGTTGTTTGTATTATGTGGTACTTGTGTCTCGGGTTGGATGTTATCTTTGTTGTTATATCTTTCACCAAAACATAAAAGAAAACCTTGGTCAGCTCAATTAGCTACATTATTTTATGCCACGGTTTGTACAATATTATTAACCAGATTTACTAATGCTGCTAGATTAGAATTTTATAATGCTTCATTAGATATTATATTATTGGTTGATACTTTAAGAAATAATTCAAGTTTTAAATCTTTAAATATCTTATCACAAGTTTTCACTCATTTAGCTTGGTTTCAAATTACTTTAAAGATTTCAAGACAAAAATTTAAGAAATATAATGCAATAATTGGTACTACATTAATCTTAACTTGTGCTGCGGTTCAAACTTTTTATCAAATTACGTTTAATAATCTGAATGCAATATTTAATATGCTGACTTCAGTATATAATTGGAAAATTGCAAGATGTATATTAGAATGGTTAATATTAATTTGGTTTTGGGCTAATCTTTTATATTATACCACCATGATGAAAAACCCGACAAAAGTATGTTATTCAAAAAGATTATTACCTTTAGCATTATTTAATTGGTTTTTATTTTTATTTGATTTAATATTATCCATACTTTATTTAAGTATATTTTCTCAAAATTGGTTAGTTCGTACTTGGATTGTTATAATACCATGTATGGTTGATATAATATTAATTACCACCGTTTGGGAATGGATTTTCAATATTTGGGTATTAGAGAAAAGATTTGAATTAATGGGAGTATTAGGACGCAAGATAAGTCATGATGAATCAATGAGTTTACATCTGGATAAAAATGATCGTATATTACAAAAACCCACCGGCGGGAAATTCTGGAATATATTTGATAAAATCCGGACTACTGGTAGTCGATCAAGTTTAGATACTCAAGAATATACCACCACCACAGATATTGTATATGATATGAAGGGAATACTGTCATCTACAGTCCATGATTCAGATGATACTAGAATATTACAACATGCAACAGTACAATTAGCTGCTAATTCACTTTCACCAACACCAACTACTCAAACTCCTCATTCTATAGATGTGACACCAATTGAAATTGGGAGTGTCAATAGAAGAGAAGATGAACGAGAATATGATGATGAGATTGTGGATGGGTATGATATTTGGGGTCATGAAGAAGATGAATATGAAGAAGATGATGATGATGATGGATATAATAAAAATAATAATAATGTACATATACCGAGAAGAAATGTTGATGATCAAATGATTATTGGATCTTCAAGGGATCATCATCATTTTGATGGGAATAACAATAATACGAATAATGATAATGATAATGATAATGATGATGAGGATGATGATGATGCTCCTCCACCATTCCAACCACATCCTGGATATAGTATGGATGATTATTGGCATGATGAGAAGACATAGATAGTGAGTGTATAATTAGAATATTGGGATATATAGGAATTTAGGATTTAATTAATAGAATATTAATTCAGTTATTAATTGTAATTATAATAATCAGCCGTACTCGGTATTAATTTAATTTATATTTTTTTATGGGGTTTGAAAAAAAAAGATTGTTCCTTTGGGTTCTAGAAATTTCTATTAAATTCTTTAGAATGACTTTATTGATTTATAATCATACCATTTACTATTTACATATAAATAAGTAACCACTTATTTATTTCATAATTCCATTTGGTTAATTGGTTCAGTCTGTTATTCTTTCTTTCTTTTACAAAATCAAAGTAATTTGTTCAATGCTTGGTACAAGAATTCCCAATAAGAAACTTATCTTACAAAGATTTACAACCACCACCACCACCAATTTAAAGAATGCAACCATTATTCCAATAGCCACCAGTCATTTCCAAGCAAAACTTCCATCTACCGCTACCACTCCAGCATTCCCATCAGGGATAACAACAACCCCATCCCACCTATCATTATCATCATCTCCAGCCATTCAACAAATCCGGTTTTTCCATAGTTCTTTACCCCGGAAATTACAACTTAGTAAAGAAGAAGCAGATAATCGCCCCGCATTAGAACAATATGGATCCGACTTAACTCAACTTGCAAAAGATGGTAAATTAGACCCAGTAATTGGTCGAGATGAAGAAATTAGAAGAACAATCCAAATTCTTTCTCGAAGAACCAAGAATAATCCCGTATTAATAGGGAATGCCGGAACTGGTAAGACGGCAGTCATGGAAGGATTAGCTCAAAGAATAATTAAAGGAGAAGTACCAGAATCAATGAAGGGGAAACAAATAATTACTTTAGATTTAGCTGCTATTGTATCTGGTTCAAAATATCGTGGTGATTTTGAAAGTAAATTAAAACAAATCTTGAAAGAAGTTGATGAAAAACAAGGGTCGGTGATTTTATTTATTGATGAGTTTCATTTATTAATGGGATTAGGAAAAGCTGAAGGATCAATTGATGCTTCTAATTTATTAAAACCAGTATTGGCAAGAGGGAAATTGTCCCTTTGTGGTGCCACGACAATTGAAGAATATAGAAAATATGTTGAAAAAGACGCAGCTTTGGCAAGAAGATTCTCATCAGTAATGGTGAATGAACCAAGTGTTGAAGATACAATTTCAATCTTGAGAGGTTTGAAGGAAAGATATGAGGTTCATCATGGGGTTCGTATTACTGATGCCGCGTTGGTTACTGCAGCATTATATGCCAATAGATATATCACCGATAGATTCTTACCTGATAAAGCAATTGATTTAGTTGATGAAGCATGTTCTACATTAAGATTACAACATGAATCTAAACCCGATGCAATCGCCACCCTTGATCGACAAATTATGACCATTGAAATTGAATTAGAATCATTACGTAAGGAAGAAGATCAACTTTCAATCGATCGTAGACATAAACTAGAATCCGACCTCGAGGTGAAAAAAGCCGAATTGAAAGAATTAACCGATCAATGGGAATCTGAAAAACTGGCAATTGATGAAGTCAAAAATGCTCAATCTAGATTAGAACAAGCTAAATTCGACCTAGAACAAGCTCAACGTCAAGGAAATTATGGAAAGGCTTCTGAACTCCAATACGCTACTATTCCAGCATTAGAAGAAAAATTAAAACAATTAACCGATACCGAAAAAGCCAGTCGGGTTTCAAGTCTCTTACATGATTCAGTCACATCTGATGATATCGCTGGCGTCATTTCCAAAATGACCTCCATCCCCGTCCAAAACCTCATGAAGGGTGAAAAGGATAAACTTCTCGACATGGAAGTCCTCCTTAAACAAAAAGTCGTTGGTCAAGATGAAGCAATCCATGCCGTATCCGATGCAGTCAGACTCCAAAGGGCCGGGTTAACTAGTGACAAACGTCCAATTGCTTCATTCATGTTTTTAGGCCCCACCGGGACCGGGAAAACCGAACTCACCAAAACCCTTGCTGAATTCTTATTCAATGATAAAAATTCCGTGATTCGGTTCGATATGTCTGAATTCCAAGAACGTCATACCGTGTCTAGACTTATCGGATCACCACCAGGGTATGTCGGCTATGATGAATCTGGAGAATTAACTGAAGCAATTCGGAGAAAACCATATGCTGTGGTCTTATTTGATGAATTCGAAAAAGCACATCCTGATGTTCTGAAATTGTTATTGCAGGTGTTGGATGAAGGGGCATTGACGGATTCACATGGTAGACATGTTGATTTTAAGAATTCTATAATTGTGATGACTTCAAATATCGGTCAGGAGATTTTGTTGGGTGATACTCAAACTTATGAAGATGGACATATTAACCCGGAGGTGAAACAGAATGTATTGGATCAATTGAAACATCATTATGCTCCTGAGTTTTTGAATAGATTGGATGATGTGTTGGTGTTTAATAGGTTGTCGAGGCAGGCATTGAAGGATATTTTGGAGATTAGATTACGTGAAGTTGCTGATCGGTTGTTTGATAAACGAATCACCCTTGAGTTGACCCCAGAGGCAAAGGATTTGATTTGTGAATTGGGTTATGATCCAACATATGGTGCAAGACCATTGAATAGGGTTTTACAGAAGAAATTGTTGAATCCTTTGGCTATGCTTTTGATTAAAGGACAAGTTAAAGAAACTGAAACGGTTCATATTGAAGTTAAAGATGGTGAAATTTTTGTTGTGCCTAATCATTCTGAAACTGAGGCTCTTAAAGAAGAACAAGAACATTTTAAAAGAGAGTAGTCAGTAGGAGTGACCCCATTTGTATGTATGTAGTTATATTTATATGTTTTTATCCATTGTATATATTCCAAAAATAAAAGAACAACAAAATGTATATATAAAACTTTACTTTATTAAACTAAATATCAAATAATTCTAAACAAAAAACAAAATCATAAAACACGACCAACAGAAGCACCTGAAACTTCCTTAGTTTGAACTTTTCTTAAACTTGCACCACCAGTGATTTGTGTCAATAATGCTCCGATGTTTGGTGCACCACCTGTTGGAGGAGCGGCTGCGGAATTACCTCCAAATGGTGGAGGTGGAGGACCAGGTGGAGGAGGTGGTGGAGGAGCGGGCGCCCCAAATGTTGGAGGTGGTGGTGGAGGTGGAGGTGGTGGAGGAGCATCAAAAGTAGGAGGTGGAGGAGGAGGAGCATCAAATGATGGTGGAGGTGGAGGTGGAGGAGCATCAAATGATGGTGGTGGAGGTGGTGGAGGGGGAGGAACATCAGAAGATGGAGGAGGAGGTGGAGGAGCTTCAGATGTTGGTGGAGGAGGTGGAGGAGCATCAAATGCTGGAGGAACTGGTGGAACATCTACTACAGGAGGTGGAGGCGGCGGTGGTGGGGGAGCATTATCTGTAGGAGGTGGTGGTGGAGGAACACTATCTGATTGAGATTCAACACTTGGTTCAGCTGCTGAAGGAGGAGCCTCATATGATGGAGTACCAAACTTACTAGAACCAGCAGATGGGACATTCAAATCCTGATCAGCTTCCTTTGCTTCTTGTTGTGGTGGTGGAGCAGGCACAGCAGCTGGACTGGCAGTTGTTGAACTTGCAAGATTAGAATCAGATCTGGTAGGTGGTTGTGACATTCCTCCAAATAAAAGACTAGCTAATTGAGCAGCACCTGCACGTCCTGGATTTTCATCTTCACTCTCTTCATCTTCCGAATCACTCCATCCACTACTACTTGCCATACCTCTTTGAGATTTACGTTGTTCTGCCGCTTTCTTAGGATCAACTGAAGGTCCAGTGTTGGTTGGTTTGAAGAATGGATTATTACCAGTGCCAGTTGCTGATTTTGCTTGTGCTTGGACATTCTTTGCAAATGGGTTACTATCATGTGGCTTGGTTGCAACAGGTTCTTGAATAGGTGCTTCTTTTGGTTGAGGAGCTTCTTGAGGAGGAGGTGTAGCCTTTGGGGGTTCTTCCTTCTTGACTTGTCCAGCTACAACTGTAGGTGCACTCTTCACTGGTTCTTCTTCTTCTTCATCACTCTCTTCTTGTCTCTTTTTCAATTCTTCCATTTCTCTCTTAAGTTTAGCCAATCTTTCTTCCTTTTGTTGTTTCTTACGTAATTTTCTCTCTCTTTCACGAGCCTCCATTTCTTGTTTTTGTTTCAACATGGCTGCATATTCTTCATCATCTTCTTCATCAGAAGATGATTCTTGTGTAGTTGCAGTAGGTGGAGGTGGAGGTGGAGCTGCTTTCCTTTCAACCTTTGGTGGAACAGATCTTTCTTCTTGTTTTGGTTCAACCTTTGGTGGNTTCCTTTCAACCTTTGGTGGAACAGATCTTTCTTCTTGTTTTGGTTCAACCTTTGGTGGAATAGATTTTTCTTGTTGCTTTGGTTCCTCAGCTTTTGGTTCAACTTTTGGTTCAACTTTTGGTTCTTCTTTCTTTTCAATCTCTGGTGACAGTTGAGGAGATGCCTTAGTTTCAATAGTACTTGAACTTCTATGTCTTGTTATACCAAGCTTGGCCAATCTTTCATTCATTCTCTTCTCAGCTTGAGCCTTAATATAAGCAGCCCTTTCTTCAGGAGTGGTATACTTTTCCTTTGGAGCTTCTGGAGAAGCGGAGCTAGTAGACTTGACAGGTTGCGACTGTTGTTGAACTTGTTGTTGTTGTTGGGTCTTAGCGATATTACGCTTTTGACTGCTTGAGAATGATTCCAATTCTTTCACAAACTTAGCTACTTCATCAGATACATTCAATCCTTTTTCCCACTTATCCGATCCCGCATCTTCCTTAACAGTAACTCTCAATTTCGAAGCACATTCATCTTCTAATTCCTTAATTCCAGATTCAATATCCTTAACCATATCAGATTGATTCTTACTTTCAGCATGAGCCTTTTCAGTGGCATTTTTCAATTGTAAATCTAAATCAGCATTATCACCACTTGAACCTGTGAATCTACCAGTAAGAGCCGCCATTCTTTGTTTTACTTTTTGTTTAGCATGGAATTTCTTTCTATCATATTCAGTAACTTCACCATTTGGACCCGTACCTTTAATTTGTGATTCATCATCTTGAGGTTCCCAGGCAGGATTTTGTTTCTTTAATTGCAATTTTGTGAGTTCAACTTTAGCCCTGGCAATTTCTTCATTAACTTTATGAATATCGGAAATTAATGATGGAACTTTATCCCTAGTAAGAGAATCCAATTTTTCTAATAATTGTTTTCTTTCATCTAATGAACCATTACCCACTCCTTGTTCTACTAATTTCGTTTGAACATCCATAATCTTCCTTTTCAAACCTTCAATTTCTTGTGCTTGTTGACTAGTATTTCTCGATAATTGTGAATCTTGATCCTCAATATCCATCGCATCTAACAAAATCTTCTTCTCACGAATCAACTTCTTCATATCATCAATAGTCAAATCTGCATCCTTGGAAGTTTTCAATGAACCTCTAGAATTATTATTATTGGAAGTTGTACTTTCAGCTTCACTTCTTCTTCTATGACGAGCATTGGAAACATATCCAAAATTACCATCATCATACTTAAATCTAGTTCCATCAGGTTTAGTCTGTGGTTTTGGTGGAGCAACCTTCTTATTCCCCGCACCACTTTTCAAAGAATTCTTCAACGTTTCCATCGAATCCTGTAAGTATCTATCAGAAGGAGGAACCAATTCAGGAGGTAATCTCAAAGGCAAATCATATCCATTTAATCTTCTATATACCAAATGCATAGCCACGGCAAATTCATCCCTATTTAATCTTCCACTATCATTGGTATCAGCCAATGTCCAGATCGATTCTAAATCAGGTCTAGCTAATCCAGACTTGGTAAAAATTCCAAGAGCGACATCTCCTTCAATATATCCTCTCTTCTTGGTGTCCCAGGCTTGGAAAAGTGCATCATAGATTTGTTTTTCTTGTTTGGTGATGGCCCAGGTAACATTTGATTTCAATGAACTATCCATGGCACTTTGTAAATTTTGAGATGGTAATTGGGCATTAGGTAAGAAATGCTGTTGCATGGCATTTAAACCAGGGATACCTCCAGTTGGCATTGATACAAATCCCCATTCACCTGGTCTTCCTGTAGGTTGAGCTTGTAATGGACCAGTTTGTTGGGATACCAATTGTGGTTGATATCCAGTAGTTTGTTGAGGAACAAATCCACCAGTACGTTGAGCTGGGATTTGTTGTTGCATTTGCTGTTGAATTTGAGGTTGTTGTTGCATTTGTTGCTGTGGTTGTTGTTGATTAAATCCAGTCAATTGTGCAGAAAGTCCTCCTGTTCTTTGAGTTGGAATCAAACCTGCTGTTTGTTGAGGTTGTAATGGAATCAAAGTCCCGCCTCCCGTTCTTTGCGCAGTCAATGCTCCAAATGAAGTTGGTGGTTGTTGTTGTTGCATAGCCAATGGACCAGTTCTTTGAGAAGCCAATTGAGGTGCACCAAAACCAGTAAGTTGGGATTGAAATGAAGTTGAAGGTGGCGCAGCAGGAGCAATACCACTGAACGCATTTGCAGGAGCATTCATCCAATCATCATCCACTTGAGTCTTAGCAGGAGCAAGTTTTGCAAATGGAGTACCGGCTAATAATTTCGCAGGATCATCAGGAACGGTAAAATTAATCGTTTCAATAAAACTATTAACTTCATTTCTCCATTTTTCAGGAAGGACTCTTGGAATTGATTCACCTTGTTTCGCCATACTACATAAATGTAAACTTAATGCAAATTCAGGAAATAAGAGAGTTCCAGTATTATCAAGATCCGATAATGCCCAAATCTCAGCCAATGTCACTGGTGGTAATCCTGATCTTAGTAAGATATTACTGGCAGCATCTCCACCAATTGCCAGTTCTCCTTTTGGTACGGCAGTTCTAAATAAATGTTCGAACTTCTTTTGATCTTCAGCAGTAATGAATGATAATCTCATATTTGGAATCTTTAATTCACTGTTTTCAATAACTGTAGGTGCCATTCCTCCAAATCCGGTTGGTTGAGTTTGGATATATCCAGTTTGTTGGGGTTGAAGTGAAGGTGGAGGAGCAAATGATTGGGTTGGTTGTTGTTGTTGTTGGAATCCAGTTGAATAAAGCGATGGTTGCTGCGGGATGAATCCAGTAGCTTGATTTTGCAATTGAGGTGGTTGATACATTTGTTGTTGTCCATAACCCATTTGAGGTTGTTGTTGCATTGGTGGTGGTGGTTGAAAGGCATAGGCTCCGCCATAGCCGGTTTGCTGCGGATTGAATCCAATGCCCTGCGGTTGTTGTTGCTGCTGTTGATAGGGGTTGTACATTGGAGTCAAATTGATTGTGACTTCTATGATTCTCGACTTCGGGGTGGCTGTCAAGTTTTTTGAAATCGTCGATCCTCCAAAACTGTCTGGTGCCTCCAATTTTTCCTCCAACAACTGAATTTTCGTGTGTTGAATTTTTTTTACGTGTGAAACTCAAAAAAATTATATATTTTACAGTTTATATACATTTACATTTACAGGTTATTCTAATTGCAAAACTTCATTCCAAAAGTTAACTTCAAGTAAAGTAACTTTATTAAAGATATCCACCAATTCTTCTAATCTCATTGTATTCAAATTAGTAGAGTCAGCCAAACTCTGTAATGCCTTCTTTCCCTCATTATGAGCATTAGAATACCAATCAGAAGTATAATCATCCAACCATGATTGATAAGTATCAACTTGTTCTTGATCCAATACACCCAATTCACCCACTGGTTGTTGCTTACGGATTTCTTGTCCATATTTCCCAGCTTCATGATATCCATGTAAACAAGGTGCAAGTGCAACTTTAATCCCCAAGAAATTCTCTCTTTTACCAACATCCAAAAGATAATTACAATATTCCAAACATGCTTTCCCAGGATTTAAACCAATATCCAAATCCATATCACGATCATAATCAATATTGAACTTTTTACATAATTTAGCTTTATGTCTTTCTAATTCAGTCACGATTTCTCCAATAATGGTAGCTTGAGCATGGGTTTGTTGATAAGTTGGAGCAACTGAAGCAGCTAATGCATGTAATTGGGCATAATTGATTAAATAATGATAATCTTGTTTTAAGAAATAAAGAAATTTATCAAATGGGAGTTTATTCTCAGCAAGAATTTTCACAAATGGATGTTGGGTATATTTCTTCCAATTATCTTTCACCTTAGGGTGATTGATAAGATATTCAAGGAATGAATCTGATTTGGCTAAGATTTCTCGAACTTCTTCACCCAGAGATTCGAGGATATGACTAGTTGATCTAGATGGGGGGACATTATGATTCAATGGTCCATTCCCAAATCCTAATTTCTTGCCCATACTGAGCATTCCTCTATGGATATAATCAACGGAAATTGGAATAGCTTCATTTAAATTACGTCCCTTGGCTAAATTGGCGGCAATGGCAGAAGCTAAAGTACACCCTGTCCCATGACTATCTGGAGTATTGATATAATCTGAGTCGAAAATACTGAGATTACCAGTTGAACTTTCATACAACACATCAAAAACATGACTCTCCCCGTTAGCAATTTCAACATCGAGGATTGGTTTCAAATTGCTATCGAATGGGATATGACCGCCTTTGACTAATAAATTCTCACATTGAAGTTGTTGTTGAAGCTCAATCACATATTCAACAAAATCATCCAATGACTCAATACTTCTTCTCTTTTCACCATTCGCAGATGTCAAATTATACAACGTCTCCGATTCGGGGAAATTAGGTGTGATTAAAAATGCCTGTTGCATTAAATCTTTCACACATAATTTCATCCCTTCATCATCAAATAATTTTGCACCCGAAGTACTTATCATAACCGGATCAATAACAATCTTGATTCCATATTGTTTCAATCTGGGTAAATGTTCTTTTATCTCCAATATCGCTTCAGAAGTAAGCATACCCGTTTTGATCACCCTAAGTGGTGCTTCTCCTTCTGGATATCCATACAACATATCATCCAACACCAGATCTAAGATTTGTTTAACAAATGGTTGGGGGGTTTTGATGAATGATTTGACCCCGGTGGTGTTTTGGGCAGTTAATGCGGCAATACATGTCATACCATAGACTTGAAAGGCACTGAATGTTTTTAAATCTGCTTCTATACCTGCACCACCGGAACTATCTGATCCAGCTATTGTTAAGACTGCAGGTAATTCAACCTTGGGGATGGATTCATTTACTCGTTTGATTTTATAAATTCTAGTTTTCAGAGTCATATCGTGTCTGGTAATTGATCTATAAAGCCTTCTATCGAGTATCTATAAGAAGAACAGAGCAAAGGAAGAGATATTTATAAAAAGTGACAAAAGGGTGAAAATGAAAAATTTTGTGAAAATTATTATTTATATTCGGAACAAAGATATCCCTCTAACCGCATAAAACTAATATGCGCTTAAAGGTCCTTCTTATAAGCAACACACAGATTCATTAAATCTATATGCAATTACAATTCTTTGTTATTCTTATCCTTATAAGCAATATCCAGATTTTATTAAACCTTATATGCACTTACAAGTCTTTGATATTATTCTTATAAGCAATATCCAGATTTCATTAAACTTTATATGCACTTATAAGTCATTCTTACTATTATTCTTATAAGCAATATACAGATTCATTAAATTCAATTCACTCCATAAAGTTTCTTGTCTATAATTGACTCTGATATCTGGAACATTATTCTTTTCAATATTATTCCCGGCAACTCCACCCTTCATATATTCTTTCCCCAACCAATGTTTCTTAATCCCAGCTTCCCAACCTGATTGTAAACATGAATTCTTGGCTAATTCACACATATCCACACTTGATAATTTATAAATCTGGGCTGCAACACTATATTCTTCAATTAATGGTTCTTTGGTATATGAGAATTGTAATGGATCATCAGTGGATAATGAAACGTTTAATCCTTTTTTGAAGAAATTATAGAATGGATTTTTATCATAGGTTAAAAATAATGCATTGTTTGAAAGTGGAGACATGGCAATACCAATTTGATCCAAATAGTATAAGTATTGGATATATGGTAATTTTCTTAATAAGATCCCATGAGAAATTCCATATGATGTTAAGAATGCACTGATTAAATGTTCTGGATCTCCTGCTTCACCACAATGAGGTCTTAATACAAATGTATTGAATTTATGCTTAAGTCTTAAATTATTCAATGTGGTAATGTTGGCATAAAGATAATACAAATAATATGAATATGGAGGATTAACCACTGAATCCCAATCACCAGCCGGTGGGTATTTTCTAGCATGTAAAGGTTTTTCTGGTTTTGATTCATCATCAACTGAATCAAATCCAATAACTCTTTGTAAAAATACATGTAATTTAGGATGAGACTTTGGATTCATTGAAACTTCAAATAATGGTTCAAATACATTTTTCATAATATCAAGATATGATTTAACATTTCTATTTTTTTTATATAAATCATATAATCTTGGGATTTGAATTAACCATCTTACATTATGACTAAATAATTTATTATCAACTATCCATGCGGCTAATTTATCCCATTCATCTAAAGATCTTCCATAGATTGAGATTCTTAATTCAACCATTTGATATTTCGATGATTCTAAATCATCAAATACTTGACCAGTTAATTCAGCTAAATATTTCCCCTGGATAAAATTATCAGTTTTTAAAAAGATTTCTCTTAATCTTGATTCTCCAATTGGATTATATTTTAAATTAAATTTATCAAATCTATGGAATGAATCAGTATGAGCATGCATATCTAAAGTATCAATAGATAAATCATATGCAGTTAATTTTAAAGATTCAAATACTTCAGTTAAAGTTAATACTTTCCCATCTCTAAAAATGACTTCTTCATCGGCAGTTGTTTTTAATTTATATTTAATATATCTTAATAAATGTTTTTGATTCATACAAGCAGAATGATGAATATGGGTATCAACTTTACGAACATTATAAAAATCACGATGAGGATTTCTTTTGGATTGTTTACTTTCTTCAAATTCATTTAAAAGATAATACATATTCCATTTTGCATCAAGGTATTGTAATCGATTAAATGCAAATGATTTGGTAGGACCATCCGAAGAAATTTTAGTTATTTTATTCAAATCCGAATAAAAATCATGTAAACTTGGTACTTTAATAATTGGTTGATCATTATTTTTATCATAAACTTGATAAACATCTTCATCATTAAGGGCAAAATAATAATTACGATTATCAATCTCGGGGATTACACATTTTTCAAAATCAAATTTCTCTTCTTCTTCAATTGGACCTTCTGGAGGAAGTTGATTAAATTTATTTTTAGATTTATAAGTTGGTTTTGGAGGTGGAGGATAAATTATCCAATCATCTTGATTCTTAGGGTTTTGCATTTCATCTTTTTGAATTGAAAGTTGTAAATATTTATGTCTTAAATCTAAACAAGTCTTGACATTTGTATAAAATTCAATTAAATCATCGGAAGGATTTTCAATTTCTGAAATTGCAGCCGTATTTTCAGGAATTGTGGAATCTTTTGAAGACGTTGGAATTCCACCAATTTCACTAGTTGAATCAACACCACCAGTTCCACCAGATCCAGGAATTTGATGTAAGAATGAATGAGCCATTTGATGGGGCATACCAATAACAGACCCTCTTCTACTTAGTTTTGGAGACCCACCAATAAATGGATTAGAATTGTCCATACCAGCAGTTTGACCAATACCATGTTGTAAAGCATCAAAAGTTTGAACTTTTAAATCATGTTCTTTCATGGATTTATCTTCAGCAGGAGAGAAATGAATTGAATGAGATAATGCATGAATATCATCATCGTCAGGACTATCATCCTTGTTATTGTCAGTATTGGAAATGGATGTATCAATTGGGATGGGAATTCCTCCTTGTTGAGAATATAATAGTTGATCTTCATTTCCTGAAGATGGTGCACTGTCATGTAAGTGCATGCTATATGCATTTCTACTATGTCCACTACACATAATTAGTTTATAGTATAAGAGAAGAGAGAAAGAAAGAAAGAAAGAAAGAAAGAAGAGCAATTGTAATTGTAAAAAAAAATGATGTGCTTGCCAAATCGGTATTATATTACAAATTAACTTTTCCCAATGAGTCAAAATTCATTCCACATATCACAATTTATGTTGCAAAATTTCAATTTTGTCTTAACCCAGGCGTATTACCACATATAACCAACATCCAACCAACCCCCCCCCCACATACCCCTAATAATTAGTTTAGAGAATTGGGGAAGTTATGAATTGAGAATGTACGTTCTTTGATTATGTCTCACTCTTCTTCTTTCTCTTACTAATAAACGGCACGATTGAGATGAGCAAAAGGCAAATTTAGCGAATTACTTTCATACTTAAATTAATTACACAAAAAAGAACTATTTTTAGTAACTAACATTTAACACTCTTTAACAGACACACAATTTTAACATTAGATTGGAGAAGAACAGCAACTGGAACAAAGAACCAAATATACACTTAGGTTGTAGCCAATAAGATCTCTAAATACTAAAAATATGAAATGCGCTCTTGAAAGAGATTTACTGGAACAGTCTAGATTTTCAGATCTCAAATTGCAACCCACATTTTATATCAACTCCCATTTTCTATTCTATTTTATGTTTCAACAAGACTTAACTTACTTTCAGAATCATTCCAAAAATTACTTTCTTGAAACCACTGCAATCAAGAGGAAAGTAAAGAATTTATGTCTAATATTATGTTCAATGTCTGTTCTAAACTCTATGGTAAAATGTAAATTGGAACTTTGAATTTATTCCCCGAACCAATTGCATCAAATTTATATCTTCTATTAGTTTCAAATAATAAATCCATAGTCAACTTCTCATTATCTTGAAGTAAATGTTCTTTATCCACCCCATCACCCTCACTAATTCCCCCATCTGTTCCATTCGTTTCCTCTCCTTCTTTTCCCGCCTTCTTCTCCCCATTCTCCCCATCACCAAACTCACTCAAATTAAATTGAAACACCAAAAAATACTTCAAATCCATAAATGAACTCTGAAATTGTGGAGTCAAAGATCTCGGAATATGTTTATGATCATTCACCAAACAACAACTATTCCCTTTCTTCCCTCCATCCTTCTCATCATGCTCCATACACGAATCAATCATAGCCGATGCAAATGTATTCACCTTCATATTCCCCGTCACCCTATACACATTCCTCAACTCCTTCCCCTCTTGACAATGATAGATCTCATTCGCTTCCAAATATGTAATCAACCCAATCACCCGAGTATTATTATTCCCCCTATTCCCACCACCACTTTTGATATCGACAATATAATGAATATCCTCGCCAATATGGAAATAGGGTCTGTTTAGACTTATCATACATAATTCATGATTCTTATTTATCCTTAATTGATATTGAGTCTTTAAATGCTCGGGTAATTGTGGTATAAAATCTTCTGAATCGAGATATGATTGTTGTTCACGTTCTTCTTCATTGGTTTCAACTATACTTTTCTTTCGTTCTGATGTTGACATTTTTGGCATATTATAAAGAGACGAATCTATTAATGCCGTCAAGTCTTGAAGAAATGCTGATCGGGTTTCACTATTTGGGTCTTCCTTATATTCAATCATACTGGCACTGGTATGCATTTTATTGGTAGTCGTGGTGTTAGGGTCCACTTGTTCAATCTTCCAATCATTATCTAACCTAATCGGATCCTGGAGAAATTTCCTCTGGATATATCTCCCACTCATCCCCACCCTCCCAGGATCAACATTCATCGGGAAATAAACTGATCGTTTCAGTAATTTCTTAGAATGGGGTTGTTGGTCATGAATACTAACAATCAACGAATATCGAATACTACACCATCCTTGATCACACCCGGGCCCTGTCAGGCGGGTATTATAACTCGGTGGTAATGAATCCTTGACGGGGAACTTGAAATGGAAAGTTTGGGTTGTTTCGGGCTCGATCTTCAAATCGGTGAATAATAACAATTGGGGAGTTGTATAAATGGGGACTATAGAATCGGTTAATTCTTTTAATGATAATTGGGAATGATTACCACCACCCGTGATGGTGGATGTTGATCGAGGTGGGAGTTTTGAATTAAAAGGGTAGATTAAATCATGTAATAAAGATCCATCTTCTTCTGAATCAACATAGACGTCTTTATTCTGTTTAGTATCAATTATTAAATTCCCAACTCCGGCCAATTTTCCCCCGATTATTAATCTAGGTGCTGCTAGGAATGGTGCCTGGTCCAAGTTTACATTTTCGTCATGTTCGAAATCAGTATGGAGATATTGGGTTAGATAGTCGACATTATTCCACCATTCTGACCCGCCCCCTGCACTGGCACGTTTGTTGAATTCATATGTGGTTGAATCCATACTGAATCGATAGTTGAGTACAATATAGCCGAATAATTGCACATATCCCAAGAATATCTTCAACGTCTGATCATCATCATCATTTTTCAATTCTTGTTGTTGTTGTTGTTGTCGACGAAAAATCCCACCAAACCATCCACCACCAGACTGATCTGCCCCCGTATCTGACTTATGTTCACCATTCTCATGATCTTCATGAGGATTAATTACAATCCTTGTCTTGGATGTATTATGAAATGATAATTGACATTCACGTTGATGGTTGGGATGATCAGGATCGGAATTTCGATATGTTAATGAGATCGAAAGGTTATCGTTGAGGATCTTGGTGTATGATTTATTATTGGTGCCGGATGTGGGTGTCGGTATTCCTGAGCTTGAATATGATGCAATTGTCATTGACTTTGATTGTTTGATTGGAATATGGGGATGGATGATAGTCTTGTTTATGACGTGGTACGGAAATTTTAGTGTCTGGTGCGGGATTGACGTTTTTTTTCATCCTGTTAGAACGAGAGATAGAGAGATAGAGAGTCGACCTAAAGGACCAAATGGTATTTTGTGACTAAAAAACGAATGGAACTACAATTACTATACTTACACAACAGAATATTACTATAAAAAGGGAAAGAGAGGGATGAACTATACATAAAACCAATTACTCTCAGCAATTATCATTGAGCTTGGACATGGGCTTGTTGTAATTTATCATCATTTTGTTGCTGCTGTTGATCATTCTCATACACCGGATGATGACTATCAATCTGTTGTTGTAAATATTGCTGTTGTTGTTGAGCTTGTTGTACTTGTCCAACAGTTTGATGGAAATCCAAGATTTCACTATAAATCATAACTCTCCAAGTATCAACTGGTAAATCAGCATCATTAAAACTCCAATCGAATTTAGTTTCACATATTGGTTCATCAGTTGGATCATGATATGGTTCCATATATGGATGAGTTAATGCTTGAGCAGCACTAATTCTCTTTTTGGGGTCAAATACCAACATTCTCCCCAAGAGATCAATTGCATCTGGTTCAACATGAGTACATGATGCAAATCGTTCACTAAAAGGAATTGCATCTCGATGAGGTAAAGATTTAACAAATCTAAGGGTATTTTCTGAACAAATTGTATTTATAACATCTGGTGGAGGTGATCCTAATAATTCAGTAATTATTGAAAATTGATGAACATGATCTTTTCCGGGGAATAATGGTTTTCCTTCAATCATTTCTGCTAATATACATCCAACTGACCATAAATCAACTTCAGTATCATATTTTTGCCAAGTTAACATAATTTCAGGAGCACGATAATATCTTGTTGATACATATCCTGTCATTTGTGGATCTTGAATTCTTGCTAACCCAAAATCACAAATTTTTAAATCACAATTTTCATTAATTAAAATATTTGAAGGTTTTAAATCTCGATGAATTACTCCTGCTGAATGAATATATTTTAATCCTCTTAATATTTGATAAGTAAAATATTGAATAAATTGTTTTTCCAACGGTCTTGAAGTTAATAATCGATGTAAATCAGTCCCCTGTAATTCATTAACAAAATAAATATCTTCTAAAGGTGATAAAAAGATATCATCTAATGTAATTAAATTTTCATGTCTTAAATGTTTTAATAATTTTAATTCTCGATAAGTTCTCTTTGCTAATACAGCTGTTGAAAATGGTTTCATTATTTTTTTAACAGCAACATTTTGTCCAGTTAATTTATCAATTGCTGAACATACTAAACCAAATGCTCCCATACCAACTGGATTTAAATCAGTATATCTATTGGTAATTTCAAATACAGTACCAAAGATTTGAGTTCTTGTAAATTCTCCATCTGATGACATCTTTTCTGTTTGTTATTTTGTATGTATTAAAAAATCTATCAATAATTGTATTTTGTATAAAAATTTTGTATTGAAAGTTGAATTGTAAAATATGAAAGTGGCGGAAAGAAGTAAGATGGAATTGGAATTGATGGAATGGGGGAATTAAGTTTTATGTCTGTTGTTAAATTAATATAAATTCAAACAAGAGTTTTTTTTTTCTGGTGTTACTTTGTTGTAACTAAATTGTATTAGTGAGTCTCTCTCTCCCTTTCACCCTTGAGAGTGTCTCTACTAAAAACAAAAAAGACATCCCCATTGATACTTTCTTAATACTATTATTCTTGTTGTTGTTGTTGTTCTTTTGTGAAATATTCCAACTTGGTTCTTTCTTCTAAAAATAGGATTATGTTGTTATTGTGTAAACATAATAACTTATATTATGAATTTACCCGTGGTCTATTTAAAGAATTAAATAAGTTAGGTTATGCAGGAGTAGTTAACCGCGTCTTCCTTCATTCCGTGGTATTGAATTCTCTTGGTTTCTATCTTGTATGTCTCTTGTCCGTATAAACAACAGAGGGGTAGGGAGCTATATTACTGTCGATTCATTTTAAATCAATTAACAATAGATATTAGCATAACTTTAAATCAGGTACACAACTAAATCAAAACACATGTACAACTTATTAAGCTTTTATAGTTATATTACTATTTATTAGCTATGACGTCAGTAGCAATATATTCAACGACATTTAGCAAAATCAAAACAAATACGACATTGTACGACATATTCTATTTTTGAACCGCCAAACGGTCGGGATGGTTGCAAAAATCAAAAAATACATGACGTCTCGGTTGTTAATTGAATTGTTTACTCTGCAACATTTAGAAGCAATCTTATTAGTATCTAGAATCGATATTGAGGTAGCTAATATGGCTTCCTCGGGTTGAACTAGGAAGATCTCTTCTTAAATATCATTACAGATTCGCATCCATTTTGGTATTTGAAAAAGCGACTGGTTAACCCCCCAGGAAACAAACTAGAGACATTACGAATACACAAGTCTCCCCCCATCCCCTCAATAATGGCGGATTGATCCAAGCAAGTACAATACAAGTTCAAGTAGTCCTTCATTAGGAAGAAGATCAACAATAAATCCTATACTTCATGTTAGTCGTTGGGCAAGTAAATGTTTATTTACAAATCTTCCTAATTTTGGTACACATTCCCGCCTGCCCAATTCCATACGCAGATCAGACAAACTAAATCTTAAATCTTATGATTCAATATTTAAATGATTTAGCATCCATAAGTATTATTCACACTCTCTTATATTAGCCAATGTCATCTGAAAAGACGGAATCATACTCCCCTCCCTATCAGCAACCACAGTTTATCCTTTATCCTTTGTTAAACAAACAAAAGAGTAGCCCCCTTCATTATGATTTTCTTTTTGTGCGTTTCTTTTTTTTTGTTCTTTCTTCTGTCGCCTCAATTTTTTTTTTCTTGACGAACAAAGCGCTTACAACCGATTTCTGTATCATGACTAATTAATTTAAATATTTATACTTTATTCTCTCTCTTCTTTCCTTTGGTCATTCCATTGCTTATTATAAATAATTCTTCCCTTTTCCTTTAGTCTCTTGCTATAGACCTCATTCATCTGCACATACCACATACACATATATCACATATCACACAGACATCAGCCATGCCCACAATAGAACAAGGAGCTTCCACAATATCATCCTCCATCAGTCTTGTCAAGACTATCATTGGGGCAGGATTATTATCAATGCCATTAGCTTATTCAACTGATGGTATTATATTCGGAACATTTATAATCTTATTAGCAGCCATAACTTCCGGTTATGGATTATTTATTCAATGTTATGTCTCAAAATATGTTCCTATTGGACATGCTACATTTTTTAATCTTTGTTCAATTACATATCCTCATTTATCGGTGATATTTGATATTGCAATTGCAATCCAATGTTTTGGTTGTGCATTATCATATCTTGTTTTGATTGGAGATTTGATGCCAACTATAATTACCGAGATTCCGTACGTTGGTGAATCATATCATCGATTATTTTGGTTAGTTGTTTCCATGATTATTATTATTCCTTTATCATTTAAAAAGAATTTAGATTCTTTGAAATATACTTCAATATTAGCACTTGTAGCCATTGGATATATGGCGGTATTAGTTATCGTTCATGCATTAATCGGAGATGTCCCCCAGGAACTCAAAGGAGAAATTATATTATTCCCAACCAATATCACAAATGTATTCAGCACATTTTCAATTATAGTATTTGCATTCACCGGACATCAAAATATGTTTTCAATCATCAATGAAGCACAAGATAAATCATTATCAAGTCTTTCCAAACTTGTCAATTTCGCCATAATTGTTTCCTCGGCATTATTCATAATCGTAGGATTAGCAGGATATTTAACCTTTGGTGACTTCGTGAATGGGAATGTCATCTTACTGTATTCCAACGGCATCACTACCACTTTAGGAAGATTCTGTATTGTATTCATGGTAGTCTGTTCATTCCCATTAATGCTCCATCCTTCCAGAATCTCAGTTAATAATATCTATTATTGGATCAAAATAAACCTCTTCCATCACCCCACGAAAGAAGTTAATGAAAATACGGCATTGTTGGAAGAAGTAGAAGAAGAACATTTCGATAGGAAAGAATCTCATATTGTCCCATTCCCAGATCATATTTTTATAATCATAACCACGGTCTTATTAATCTTGGGTTATGGATTAGCAATCTCGATTAAATCATTTGCATTCGTGTTGGCAATTGTGGGAGCTACTGGATCAACTGCTATTTCGTTCATATTGCCGGGATTGTTTGGATATAAATTAATTGGACTGGATGAAGATCTGAGTAATTTGGATGTTTTCTTTAGGAGATGTTCTTTGGGGTTGACGATTTGGGGTGTTGGGGTGACTATTGTATGTTTATATAGTTGTTTAGTTTTATAGATGTACACAGCGGGTTACAATATAGTATGTTTGCAGTTCGTTGAATATCTCTTCCTATTGCTCTTCTAATTGTAAGGGGCCCATTTGCAGCAAGTTGTTGCAAAACTTCTCATATTGGATTATCAATCCAAGATCAGCAAATATCTTAGTGCGTCAGTAGGGCAAAGCTAATTTAGATATCACTTACCTGCCACTGATACGAATCTAGATGCACATTTCCCTATTTAAAGACTGTTTGTTTAGCTTTGATTAGAGCAATGGCACAAGTAACAACAACCAGGTAAATTCAAGATCATTTGCGCTACCACTTTGAAAGAAAGTTCTCTCGGGGTTCCGATCACTAAGAAGCTTTCAAGTTGAAGGTGATTAAAAGTACTTAATTGGTTTCCCAGTTATTACTATTTGTTATTCACTCGTCTGCTGGGTTAATTAAGTAACATGCCAAATGTTAGAAATAAATATCTTGTTCCAAGGGATTATCTTTGTTTTGGCTTAGTTTTGGTTTAATTTCAAATGTAATAAAGGCAAGAAAAAAAAGTTGGGGGATATAAAGTTTCGTAAATGATCATTTAATTCTTTCAATTCCTTCTAGAATCTAGAAATCATATCTGTACATATATATTAACTAACAATGTCTTGTGAAGACGAACATTATCATAGCCACAGTCATAGTCATGGAAATGGACACGGAGGAGGACATAATCATGATGAACATGATCATATTGCCCCAATCCCGACAACAACCTCCCAATCATTAAATAGTAAAATAGATACTACCAAATTAACAGCATTAAATTTATCGAATCATCCCAATGATTTACCTAAGCTCTTCAAAACACAAGAAACTAAATATCAAATTAAACCAATTATAAAATCAGATTGTGATTGTCAATTAATTTTAAATATTCCATTTTTAAATGGTAGTGTTAAATTATATTCACTAATCTTAAGAACTAATGGGAATAAATATTGTCCTAAAACGATTAAATTATTCAAAAATGATAAATTAATAGATTTTGATAATGTGAATACTAAAACACCTCAACAGAAATTAACCCATCCTCAAATCGGGGTATTAATAGATGATGAAGATGAAATGGAGGACTCCCTAGTCGATGATGGGGATTTTGTGGAACATTTCCTTTCAAGAGCACAATTCACGGGTGTTGAACAATTAACGATATTTATTGAGGATATATATGATGACGAGGGTGAAGATGAATGCTGGATTCATTCAATTGAATTAAGAGGTGAATTTACTGAATTGAATAAAAACCCGGTGATTACTCTTTATGAATCAGCTGCAAACCCGGCAGATCATATTAATTTAACATCAATTATTGATAAACAAAATTTTACTTTTGGTAATTAGAATTCTCTCTTCACTTGTATTTAGGTTGTTTAGTCAAATAGAAATATAATTGCATTACCCAATATATAGGATGACGTAAAGTAACCTTATTACGGGGTTCTATTCTACACACCCGTGGTAATTCGGAATCAAGTCGTGGTGGTCTTATGTTGGATGAAAAAAATAAAATTTCAGGTGAGTCATGTGACTTTGATTAATTTTATTTTTCAATTGGGCGAAAGAAGTCCGAAGAACCGACAGGTGAGGTTTAGTTAATCCCGGAGGTTCACAAACCAATATTTAAATTTTTCAAAATCCCCCTTGAACTTCTTTCTTGTTTCCTTTTCTTCTTCTTCTTTCTTTCTTCTTCTCTTCCCTCTCTATCAAATTATCAATTGATTCAATTTAATACAAAACTCATAATGCCAAAGTTAGTTTTAGTCAGACACGGTCAATCCGTTTGGAACGAAAAGAATTTATTTACTGGATGGGTTGATTGTCGTTTATCAGAAACTGGTGAAAAAGAAGCCAAAAGAGCTGGTGAATTAATTAAAGAAGCTGGTATTCAATGTGATATTTTACATACTTCTAAATTATCCCGTGCTATTCAAACTGCTAATATTGCTTTAGATGCTGCTGATCAATTATATATCCCAGTCAAGAGATCTTGGAGATTAAATGAAAGACATTATGGTGATTTACAAGGTAAAGATAAAGCTCAAACTTTAGAAAAATATGGTAAAGAAAAATTCCAAACTTATAGAAGATCTTTTGATGTTCCACCACCAGTTATTTCTGCTGATTCTGAATTCACTCAAGTTGGTGATGTTAGATATAGTGATGTTGATCCAGCTTGTGTTCCAAGAACCGAATCTTTGAAATTGGTCATTGATAGATTATTACCTTATTGGCAAGATGAAATCAGTGCTGATTTATTAGCTGGTAAGACTGTTATCATTGCTGCTCATGGTAATTCTTTAAGAGCTTTAGTTAAACATTTAGATGGTATTTCTGATGAAGAAATTGCTGGATTAAATATCCCAACTGGTATTCCATTAGTTTATGAATTAGATGAAGCCTTAAAGCCAACTAAACCAGCTTACTACTTGGACCCAGAAGCTGCTGCTGCCGGTGCTGCTGCTGTTGCTGCTCAAGGTCAAAAGAAGTAATCTGATGACTTTTCTAATAAATTAGACATTTTATACTTTACTTTTTTACTATGTGTATATTTTTGCTTTTTTCTTTAAATAATTGAATGAAAAGAAAAAATTAATCACTCTGAATCATGTAGATACAATTTTAACTCTCAATTGTTTGTGTTGCGTATACAATTGATGGTTTTGATCTCTTCCCCTTAATAAAAGTTTCATAGTCTCATTTCTTTGGACCGTTCTGGATTTCGCACGGAATGCTAACAAAACCTCTTCGATGAAGAATAAAAAAAATTCAAACATCACAGAAAGAAACAAAACTTAAAGTGTGTTGTAAAAAGTTTAATTCAAACAGAATCCAATAAAAACACTTCTTAATTGAAATTAATAAGGGGATAAATTAATTTATCACATCACTCAAAACTCAATAAAAATTTATTACTTCAGTTTGACTTCAATTGGGTGTTTTATCTTTTTTACAACAAATCAACAATCAATTAAATAATGTTTGGAGGACAACAACAGAATCAAGCATCTGCATTTGGTGGAGCTAATGCAAACTTCACATTCGGTGGAGCTGCCAAACCTATCGATTCAACAGCAAATACTGCCTTTGGAGCTGCCACTCAAGCAAAACCAGCTTCTCCATTTGGACAACAACCACAACAACCACAACAAACACAAAGCATGTTTGGAAATGCCCTAGGTGCCGCCAAACCAGCATCTCCTTTTGGACAATCACAACAACAACAGCCAGCAACTAATGCATTTGGAGCTAAACCATCTCCATTTGGAGGTGCTCCTGCTGGGTCTTCCGCATCTCCGGCATTTGGAACCACATCAACACAACCAAATGCATTTGGTGCACCTACAACAACAACAAATCAAGCCATGGGAGGATTTGGTTCAAATACAGCTACTAAATCCCCATCACCATTCCCACAACCAGCGCAAGATAAACCTGCTTTTGGAACTGCTTCAAATACAGGATCGGGATTATTTGGAAATGTTGCTGCTCCGGCAGCTACTAGTAAACCTGCGTTTGGTGGTTTCGGAAGTGCTGCTGCGTCAGGAACTGCTACGCCTACGTTTGGAGATAACAAACCAGTAGCTACCACTACCGGATTTGGAACTAGTGCTCCTCAAGCTGCTATTGGATTTGGAACTAGTGCTCCGCCAGCTGCAACTGGGTCTGGATTTAGTTTTGGCGCAAAGAAAGATGACACCACCACTGCTAGTAGTAATCCATTATTTGGAGCTGCTCCTACTGCAACCACAACTGAGAATAAGGATCAATCTCCAGCTCCTGCTGCTGGTGGATTATTTGGAGCTGCTAAGCCTGCAACTACTGGTGCTGCTGCTGGTACAAAACCTGCCTTTGGCGGATTTGGAAGCGGTGCTACTTCTGGAACAGCAACTCCAACTCTTTCATTTGGTGCTAAGAAAGATGATGCTGCTGCACCAGCTGCTGCTCCTAGTGGTGGATTATTTGGTGCTGCTGCCAAACAAGCAAGTCCTGCTCCTAGTGGAGGATTATTCGGTGCAAAGAAAGACGATTCTACTGCTGCGGCTGCTCCAACTGCTCCTACTGGTGGATTATTTGGAGGTGCTGCTAAACAAGCAAGTCCTGCTCCTTCAGGTGGGTTATTCGGAGCTAAGAAAGATGATACTACCGCTGCGCCAGCTGCTCCAGCTGGTGGATTATTCGGTGCTGGTGCTGCTGCTAAGGCAGATGCGACCAAGCCTGCGTTTAATTTAGGTTCAGGAACTGCTACTCCTAGTCTTTCATTTGGTGCTAAGAAAGATGATGAGAAATCCGCATCTTCAACTGATTTATTCGCTAGTAAGAAGGCTGCGGCTGAGAAATCATCTGGTGGGTTTTCATTCGGCGCAAAGAAGGATGATGATAAGTCGTCTCCTGCTCCTGCTGCTGGTGGATTTACATTTGGTGCTAAGAAAGATGAAACGAAGGCTGATGGTGCCAGTGCTCCTGCTGCGGGTGGATTTACTTTTGGTGGTGCAAAGAAAGATGAAGAAAAGAAGGATGAAGGTAAGGCGGCTACAGCTCCACCAACTACTGCTGGATCATCAACTACCACCACATCTTCAGTTCAACCTACTTTAAAACCAACTAAAATTGAACCAATTCCAGTATCGATTGATAATAAGACATTAGATGATTTGATCATAAAATGGTCAAAACAATTAACAACAACCAGTAAGATATTTGATTCATATACTGAAAAAGTAAAAGAATGGGATCAACAATTAGTTGAAAGTGGAGATGAAATTTCAAAATTAAATCAAGATTCTCTTGAAGCTGAAGCTGTTCAATCTAAAATTGATCAGCATTTATTATTTGTGGAAAGTCAACAAGATGAATTAGAAAAATTGTTAGATAATTATGAACAACAAGCTGATATTTTATTGAATAATATTGAATTAAATACAAGTTCTGCAAATGCTACTGCATTAACCGATGGTTCTTCCACTGGTTCTGGTGTTGGTGGTGCTGGAGGATCGACTGGAAATGATGGTGGTTCTGGTTCTAGTCCCGCTGTTGCTTCTTTGTCCAGTTCTTTGAGTGTGACTGATAAATTAAGAGAAAAAGCCTATCATAATGCCGAATTATTAGATGAAAGACTAGATAATTTGGGTGAGAATTTGAATACGTTAATTAATGAGATTAATTCCGTTAGTGATGTATTTAATAAGAATTTGATAAATGATTTAGCTCAAGGACAAGCTGGTACGATAACCACCACTGGTACTAGTGAAACTAAACAAGATTCTAAAGTACTTGAAAATCCAATTGAAGAAATTGTTAAATTATTGAATTTACATTTAGAAAATTTGAAATATATTGAAAATTCTGAAACTGAATTAAAGAATAAATTGGAAAAGATTTCAAGAACTAAGAAATCTCAAAATTAGAAGAAAGACTGGGATTTGGCTATCATTTCGTTTTTATATATAAAATGTGGGTCTGTATATTTCTTTATATTGTTAAGTTTTGAATAAAATTGTGTGTATTGTATAAACTTTGTTGGGTTTATCTCTGGTGGTGGCTGTTGACCCCCACAACAACAACCCCTTATAGGCAAGTGCATGTGCAAATATGTGAGAGATCTATTGTCACTTTTCCACCACATGCAAAGTAAAGAAGGACGATAAATTGTAGTATAAAATGTCTCTTGATTTCCTTACTAGTAGTTACCACCTCCTTATCTCTTTCACTCTAGTCGTTTCATTGGGATTAAATTATCGGTCAAACTAAAGTTTCTCCAGGTTTTAAATTTTTCCGAGGGTATAAAATTATTTTTCAGTCAGATAAGCAATTCTTTTCTTTCACTAATCATCATTGACATCATTCATTCCCAGTCATGGCATCTCCTATAATTGTTTTAATTAAATTATTGTTCAATCCAAATGTATCCAATAAGATGCTTTTACAAATGGCCTTAAATCGGGTCAAAGCAATTGGAATTGGTAAAATAATTTCAGCATTATTAGGATCACTTTTAGTTGCTGTGTCTTCCTTTATAAGAGTTCCTCAAATATTAAAACTAACCACCAAGACAACTGAAGATCGTATTTCAGTTGCTGAAGGATTATCATTAGAAGGTTTAACTCTTGATACTATTAATTCCTTAATTCATGTGATTTTCAATTATCAACATAAAATACCATTTTTAAATTATGGTGAGAGTTTGTTATTAGGTATTCAAAATGCAATTATTATCTTATTAACCAAATATTATCGATTACATTCTATCCACAAGATTGGTGAACATTGTGGAATAAAACCAGAGGATCAACTTGATCTTGCAGCTTCGGATGCTCTTAAAACAGTTGGGGTGATGATTGGAGCAATTGTGGTTTTTGCTAAACTTGTACCTAGTAATATCCTTTCATATTTGGAAATGGCAAGTATTCCAATTTCAATAATTGCAAAATTGCCTCAGATTAGACAGAATTATAGATTGAAAACTGCAAAGCATTTATCTGATATTGTGTTGAAAGCAAATGTTGTAGGGGCTCTGATTAGAGTATATACTTCTTCAGTTGCACTTAATTCAAATGCAAAGAGGAATAAGAATACTAGGAGTGATAAGATTTTGGTTGCGGGATATTCTGTTTCGTTATTAATGCATTCTATTTTACTTGGACAATCAATTGTTTATGATAAACTTAAGAAAAAAGACAAGGATGTTAAAGGAATTGAAGAAAAGAAAGAAGAATAGATTTGGATGGTTTATGGTATTGGTTTATGTATGTGTTTTTGTGGTTTTTTAATAAAGAGTTTCTTGGCCTTGGGCCCCAGATATAAAGGTCTTGTAGATTGTCTCGGAGAAGTAAGGCACAAATCCGGATTATTTTTGCATTCTTTTTTTTCTCACTACGGAAATGGTCTTAAAAAAAGTGGCATGATCTCTGATCATACTGGACTTTCCTAAGATGAGTACGTCTTATTCTCTATTGTATCTATATCCATTCAGAGATATTTATAACACAATTCGTTTAGTTACGTTTGTTGCCGTCCCTTTGTTCTGTTGGCGGAAGACAAGAAAAATGATGACAAATTGCGCACACAATCGGGGCCCAAGGCTAGAGCTAATTTTTCAATTTTTATTTAAACTCGTTCATTTGACTAAACTTACTCCACATTTTCTTTATAGAACAACTTAATAGAGACAAACATACACACCATGGTAGCTCATAAAGCAGAATTCTTACCTTCAACAACCTCAGACATCTCGTCAGTCTTACAAGGTGGTTACAACCATCCATTATCACGAGAATGGCAACAAGAAAGACAACTTACTAAAAACATGTTCATCTTCCCCCTTTTCATTACTGATAATGCTGATGAAGAAAGTCCAATTCCTTCATTACCTAATATTAAACGTTATGGTGTTAACAAAATGATTCCATATGTCAAAACATTAGTTGAAAAAGGTTTAAGAGCAGTTATATTATTTGGTGTCCCATTAAAAGAAGGTGTCAAAGATGAAGTAGGCACTGCTGCCGATGATCCAGAAGGTCCAGTTATTCAAAGTATTAAAGCATTACGTAAAAATTTCCCTGATTTATTCATCATGTGTGATGTTTGTTTATGTGAATATACTAATCATGGACATTGTGGGATTTTGAATGAAGATGGATCTTTGAAACGTGAACCATCGGTTCAAAGAATTGCTGCTGTTGCTGTTAATTATGCCAAAGCGGGTGCTCATTCGGTTGCACCTTCTGATATGATGGATGGTAGAATTAAGGATATTAAAATTGGATTAATGAACGCTGGACTTGCTCATAAATGTTTGGTTATGTCTTATGCGGCCAAATTTAGTGGGAATTTATATGGTCCTTTCAGAGATGCTGCTGGTAGTGCACCAAGTCATGGTGATCGTAAAGCATATCAATTACCACCAGGGGGGTCAGGATTGGCTCGTAGAGCTTTAAAGAGAGATATGGAAGAAGGTGCTGATGCAGTAATTGTCAAACCATCTACTTTTTACTTGGATATTGTCAGTGATGCAGCAAGGTTATGTCGTGATTATCCAATTTGTGCATATCATGTCAGTGGTGAATATGCTATGTTACATGCTGCTGCTGAAAAGGGAATTGCTGATTTGAAGGGGCTTGCATTTGAGAGTCATCAAGGGTTTTTGAGGGCTGGTGCAAGATTAATTATAAGTTACTTCACTCCTGAATTCTTGGAATGGTTAGAAGTTTAATCAAAATTTGATCATCTGTATATATTATTTAAATTAAATAAAAGGCTTTAATAAGATTGAAAGTCGATGTTCTATATTGGTATTGGTTCGTGTGTTTTCGCCTTTTGGGCAGGAATCTCTTCCTCTTCTTCTCTTCCTTCCTCTATCTTGTCTGTAGGTACATCCGGCAACTTCTGTTCGGGAACATCAGGCATCTTGATTTCTTCTGGTTGTTTACCATTAATCTCTTGATTCATTCTTTCAAACTCTTCATCAACCTCAGTTTCCTCCACTTTCGTCAACCCACTACCCATTCCCAAGGCTTCACTAATTTCATCCACCCTCAATTTTTCTTCTTCAACTTGATCTATAATCTTATCTATCTTCTCCACACTCATTTCATTATTTAATTTCGTCAACACCTTATTTCCTTCAGTTAATCCATAAATCACATCTTTTTCAATCAATTTAAATTCAATTGTTCCAATCAAATTTTCTAAATTATCTAATTGATCGCAAGTCTTAATAATCGTCGATTGTTGTTGTTTCTTGGATCTAAGATAAAATTTCGCTCTTTCTGGTTGTTTATTTTGTACGGCTTGTCTTGCTAATTCAGATTGTCGATCAATTACAGTTTGTAATTTACGTTGATATTTTTTTATGTTATCTCTTTGTTGTTTCAATTGGAAGATTGCCTTGTCTTGGGCTGTAATCTTCGGCGTTGATGACGTCAGTTGTCCCATGATGACTCCTCTGATGCTATGTGATTATGATGTGGATCAAGTTGTAGATAAAACTGTGTGATAATCCGATCGGCAAATCACAATTTTAATGTGCAATTTTAAAGTCACGTGAGTTATGTGATTGATTACGTAATCGAATTTTCAAGTTAATAAAATTTGGCTGCTAAAAAAATTGACAACATTTTATTTACTTTCAACTTTTTATTCATTGATGAACCCTGCGTTGGATTATTCTTCAATAAAGGTTCTTGTCGCTTATTAAGGTTATGTTTAGGTAAGATTTGGGTCATTTCAATTGAGTTATAGATTCAGGTAGATAGATTGGTAGTTTTGGCTATAATTTTTGCGGATTATTTACAAGAAATCGTTCGGTTGTGAAAAGAAACAAGGACCACCAAGACCATTGGTGCTTACAAACCATTTTAAAATATCCACAGAACAGAGTGACTTCCATGAACTGCTACAACGGAACTACAAACTAAAAGTCACAGTATTCAATTTCCTTGCTGCTACTCAATTGGATGAAAAGCTTTGCAACACCGATTTTCCATAAACTTTCAAAACTATAAATTTCAATACCCCAAAGATCACGTGAAGGGGGTTTGATTGATGGTTGCAACAAAAAGAGTAAAAGTGGCTTGTGTTTATGTTTAATGTCGTATGATTCAAGTGTTAATGTTCAAAGCAATCGATTACTAAAACATTTCATTAAGAAACACAAAAGGCGGAGTTGCTATTATTTTTTCAACAGAACAAAGAACAGGTACCAATTACTGCTGTTACTAATAAATTAGATTGAACTCTTGTTTTTTTTAGCCCTGACTATGGCATTTTACTAATTTAATTAATTGTATCTTATAGGAGGTTTTAAAAAAAGGACAAAGTATTCATAACCAAGCTTAATCAATTCTATGATCCAATAATTTGCTTCCTTTACATTTGATTCATTTAATTAACTTTTAAGAAATTATTTAATTAAGAAGAATTGCGTAAATTTAAACAATTTTAATAATTTTTCAAATCTCCTGTTAACAATAAAAGTTACAAATACAAATTAAGTAGTTATACAATACGGTGGGCAAATTATTCTTACTAACAAAAATCCTATAATTAGAGATAGAAGCTTACCCCAAAGAGAGTGACACAGAAAGAGATTGAGACAGTACAATAGTTAAAGCGTGAAAAAGAAGGTTTTATTAATTAATTAGCATTTGGTTTTATTTGGTTGTTTCATTTCTTGTAACAAAAATTTCTTGTCTTTTCAAAAATTCCAACTGACAAAAATAAAAATAAATTAAAACAGAATTCTGCCATACAAAAAAAAAAAATTCAATTCATATTTCCCTTTTTAACAAACCCTTTCATTTTTTTAGAAAACAACACATCAAACTTTTTTTAATCAACTCATTCACATTCAATCTATCTATCTCAAAAAGTAGAAGTAAGAAGAAGACAGTCGAAGTTGACTCGCTCATTCTGTATTATACTCAAAATAATAAAAAACGGAAACAACCATCACAAACAACTTTGCCAACCCAATTTTTTTTTATACTAAGATTTTCTGTATAATTAATACTATCGTTAAAAAGGATATTTTAAGAAAAAGATGTCGTCTAATCAATATGCATCTCCCAATTCAAGGAATCCAAGTGGTCAATATCCAAATTCTCATATGCCTCAAGCTGTGAATCTTCCACCTCATTTATTGCCAAGACAATTTATAGAACAACAGAATCAACCTCAAAACAATTACCAGATGAATGAGACACCACAACCACCACCACCACCAGCACCTCATGGCCAACAAAGAAGAGCTTCAGCTGAACAAATGCATCGTCATACATTAGATCCACAACGAGCACAATCGTATTCGTCAGGACAATCTTATCCAACAAACCAACAGCCACCTCCTTTGAATAGACCCATTAGTCAGAAACAACAATATCAACATGGGGCTCCACCACTACCACCATTGCAACAGCAGCAACAACAGCATTATTCTTCTTCTCCCCTGAATTATCAACAAGGATATGTTAGAGGACAACAACATCAGCAACAACCACAATATACACAAATGCAACAGCACTCTACTTCTCATCCACCACCTCAACAACGTGCTTATTCTTTGCAGAATACTCCTCAACAATATCAACAACCAGGGTACCAATATGACAATTTACCTCCACAGCCACAACAACATTCTTCGCCTCATAGACAGCCACCAATCCAACCACATCAACCATACGCACAACAACAATCTCCGTTGGCATCACCTGTTAGACTGCAAAAGCCACAATTACCCTATCCACAACAAAGACAGGATGATTTACCTGGCTTAGATCAACGACCACAACTTCCTCAGCATGCTTCGGCTCTGTCCTTAACTTACGACACGAGTCCAAACTCAAATCAAAGGCGGATGGCGTCTATGGATTCATATCATTCTCAATATAATAATTTACCATACCCCGTTGATGGAAATGCTAATGCCCAACAACAACAAACATCACCTCAGCCTCAATCTCAACAACAATTTCCACAACAATCGCGTAGATCTCTGCGTAGAGCCGCTACTGGTAATTTACCTCCAATTCAAACTAATGAACCATACACTGAATCACATGGAAGAAGAATAGTATCGACACCAACTGCACCCAACATGCCTATAAATAATCAACTAACACATGATTCAAGAACTAAATCATTATCCTCTGGCTCACAAAAATATTCCCAACAATCGCAACAGCAACAACAACACCATCAACAACCACCAAGTCATACCAATGGTCATAGACCTTCTTCAAGTTCTAGTGGGTCTGGTTCTTCACTCCATCATTCCAACTCTCGTTCACTTACGTCATTAACTAAACTCTCATCATTATCAACCAAGAAGTTTGGTTCATCATCATCAATTCCAAAGGTATTGGAAAAACAAACACCAAAACGTCATACTTCTGGTGCAGCACATAAGCCAGCGGTGTATCCTGCATTATTGTCAGCAGTTGCCAAGATATTTAGAGAAGCCATCATATTGACTATAAATACCAAAGATGGTTTAGAATATCATGATACATTTACTGGTAAAATGGCCGTGGATATTATTTGTCGTATTATTAGAACTAATGATCGTAATTTGGCATTATTATTGGGTAGATCATTAGATGCTCAGAAGTTTTTCCATGATGTTACATATAATCATAGATTAAGAGATTCGGTTCATGAAGTATATGCTTTCAATCATGTTTATAATGATGTTGAATTTTATCATGAAGAAACATTTGCCAATAATAACAATAATAGTGGTGAGAATTCAAAACATGGTTCATTTCTTGATAGTACTCAGTTACAATCGTCTGATTTTCCTGTATCACCACAATTCCCTCCTGGGTCCGTTATGTCTGAGAATAGTACCTTGGTGCCAACTAAACCTAAGGAATTAACTGCAAGTCAACAAACTGGTGTCAATGGGGTGTTTACAATTTTGACTGATTGTTATTCACCTACTTGTAGTAGAAATAGATTATGTTACAGTATTGCATGTCCTAGAAGATTAGAACAACAAGCTAGATTGAACTTGAAACCACAAGGAGGATTAAAGAGAGCAGTTTCCCGATTATCTATCCATGAACAAGAAGAAAGTGAAACATTATGGCATAAGACTGTTCCTCAATCAGTGTTGGATAAATTAGATAAACATGAAAAAACTAGACAAGAATTGATTTATGAATTTGTATATACTGAACGTGATTATGTCAAGGATTTAGAATTTATGACAGATTTCTATATTATGCCTTTGAGAAATCCAGCTAATAATATTATTCCTGAACATCAACGAGAAACATTTATTCATACTGTTTTTGGAGGAGTTAGTGATTTATTAAGATTAGCTAAGAATTTCAGTGAAGCATTGACTAGAAGACAACAACAACAAAAACCAGTTGTTGAAGAGATTGCTGATGTATTTTTAGATCATGTTGGTTTATTTGAACCATTTATTAGATATTCGGGGAATAAAGTGTTTGCAGCATTTGAACATGAAAGACAACAACAAGTGAATATGAAATATGCAAGATTTTTAGATGCAATTGAAAAGAAGCCAGAATCTAGAAGACAAGATTTATCTTCGTTTTTGATTAAGGGTGTTCAAAGACCAGCAAGATATCAATTGTTTTTGGCGGGGATTTTGAAGCATACAAAACCTGAATCTCCTGATTATAAGAATTTAGTTAAAGCCAAGGAAGAAATTGAAAAAGTGTTGGCTAGAATTAATGTTCAAACTGGTGAAAGTACTGATAGACATAAGATTATGGTATTGCATAGATTATTGGGGAAACAAACGTTGGAAAATAAATTCAATTTTAAATTATCTTATAATAATAGAATTATTTATCAAGCAAGTTTAACTAGAAAAAGAGATAATGAAAAGATTGATTTATATTTGTTTGAACATGCTTTGTTATTGGTTAAACATAAGATTCAAAATAAACGAGAACAACATAAAGTTTTTGAAAAACCAATGTATTTACCATTGTTGTTTGTTAATGGAGGATATGAAATTCCAGTTAGTAAAACAATTATGAATCATCGATATAATGGATCCATAGTTTCTGATACCACCCTTAGAAATCAACGTACAGAAACTAATTATATTGGAAATACATTAAATTCATCCAATACTACTAAATGCCAATTGAATTTCTTTGGATTAGGAAGTAATCAAGTTCATGTTTCATTATTTGCTGATGATGTAGCTGTTCAAAGCCAAGTATTACAACAAGTTCAACAACAACAAAAGAAATTAATCGATAACAGTGATTTATTCTCATTAACTAAATTTGAAACTAGAAGATTTCAAGGGAATAATAAAATCAATTGTGCTGTTCCATGTTATGGTGGGAAGAAATTATTATATGGAACTGATTCAGGTGTTTGGGTAAGTACTGTTAGATCAATTAATATGAATTCAAGTGATAAGATTGTTTCTGATCCAACTATGGTTATTTCAAAAGTTTATGTCACCCAAATTGAAGTATTGGTTGAATATTCCAAATTATTAGTATTAAGTGATAAATCATTATATGAATTCGATTTAAGTTGTACTGATTCATTAGATCATTTGAAAAATACTAAACTGGGTAAATTAATCATGACCCATATTTCGTTTTTCAAGATTGGTATTTGCGATGGTAGATTATTAATCTGTGGTGCTAAAACTGGTGGACAACATACAATATGTATATTTGAACCATTAAATCCATTCGATAAAGGTAAAAATAGAAATAGAAAAGTTGAAGTTCAAGAAATCCCATTCAGTTCTGATCCAATTTCAATTTCATTCTTAAAAACAAAGTTATGTGTTGGATGTGCCAAAGGATTTGAAATCTTATCATTGGAAGCTGGTAAAAAGGAACCAATCTTAGATGAAGCTGATCCATCATTAGATTTTGCCATTCAGAGAGAAACTGTCAATCCATTGGCTATTCATCGATTAGGTCGTGATTTCTTATTATGTTATGCCGAATTTGTATTTTTGATTAATCGAAATGGTTGGAGAACTAATCATGATTGGGGGATTTTTTGGGAAGGTAATCCTCAGAATGTTGCCCTTTTCTTTCCATATTTATTATCATTTGAACCTGGGTTTATTGAAATTAGAGATTTACATACTACTAATTTATTAAGAGCTTTAACGGGGGAAAACATTAGATATTTACATTCCAATGAACATGAAGCTATGTATGCTTGTGAAGAGAATGGATATGATATTATTGTGTCGATTGATTTCTTGAATTTGAAACCGAAATCGCCAACTTCTGGTTCTAGTACGTCAGCATCAGCAGCATCAACTGCTCCAACTACAACTGCAGTTGCATCTTCAACTACATCCGATAAATCATGAGTTTAAAAATGGAGAGAGAGAGAGAGAGAGAGGGATGTGAGTGTTTTAATTTTTATTATTATATATTATTTTTATATTATTATTATTTTGCATGTGTATATTATTATTATTAGTCAGTATATGTATGTACGTATAGTTTGTTTGATGAGTTTACTGTAAATATCCTTTTAAAGGGGTCTTCTTGTCTTCTTCTCCATATTAATCTCGGCACAACTGGAAAGACGCGTGTTGTCTCGGATAATAAAACAACACGAAGAAAAAATCACACGCAACTGAAACGGTTAACCAGGGCACCAAACTACAATGGGGGAGCAGTGCATATAACCAATATTGCGACGAAAAAAACTCAACGACTTTTTTTTTTTTTTTTGGAAAATTCCACATCGAATCAAACATACAACCACGAAAGCCTCCACTACAGCCATCTACATTTCTTGACTATCGAGAGTTTGAGTGTTGCTAAGTGTTAAGTCAATAGTAGAGAGTATAAAACAAACATGATAGAAATAAGTTATCCTAGTATTGAACGTCCATTTGGTATTTACTTATGGCCAATTTTCAACAAAATCTTTGAATTAATCATTGGATATCCAGCTGAAGAATTTGAATTTGTTTATCATAAAACTTTCTTAGCAAATGGATATCATGCTATTGGTATTATAATCGCCTATTACATTATTATCTTCGGAGGAAGATTCTTAATGTCAACATTTAAAGTTCCTGCTTTGAAATTGAATTTCTTGTTTCAATTGCATAATATTGTATTGACTGGTTTATCACTTGGATTATTATTGTTATGTATTGAACAATTAGTTCCTATTTTATATCATCATGGTGTTTTCTATGCTATTTGTCATAGGAATGCTTTTGCTCCAAAATTAGTTACATTATATTATTTGAATTATTTGACTAAATATTTGGAATTAATCGATACTGTATTCTTAGTGTTGAAGAAAAAGAAGTTATTATTTTTACATACTTATCATCATGGTGCTACTGCATTATTATGTTATACTCAATTAACTGGTTCTACATCAGTTGAATGGGTTCCAATTACTTTGAATTTAGCAGTACATGTTGTTATGTATTGGTATTATTTCTTAAGTGCAAGAGGTATTAGAGTATGGTGGAAAGAATGGGTTACTAGATTCCAAATTATTCAATTCTTAATTGATTTAGTATTTGTTTATTTTGCAACTTATACTCATTATGTTTATAAATATTTCCCATGGTTACCTCATATGGGAGATTGTTATGGTAGTGAATTAGCTGCCGCTTATGGATATTTGATCTTGACTAGTTACTTGTTATTGTTTATCAGTTTCTATATTAAGGTGTATAAGAGTGGTGATAAGAAGAAGAAGGCTGCTGCTGCAGCTGCCGCTGCTGCTAAGAAGGAAGGTACCACATCTGCTAGTTCCACAGCGGTTGAAAATGGTTCTTCTCAAGTCAAATCTAGAAAGGCTTAGACTGGTGGAGCGTAGTAGTGATGGTAGTAGTACTAGTGTATTATGGAGGTTGGTAGAGAATAGACAGAATTCCCCCATGTAATTTTAACAAATAGATAATCTTTTTTTGTATAGTTCAATTAATAAATTAATAATAATAAACAAATTTACGGATGCCAAATAAAATTATTCCGATATACGGATATAAACATGTAAAAAATAAAGAAATTGATTACATAAACATACAGGTTTGTCGTATTTAGGGTTCAAAAGAAAAAAAAGAATTCTTCGGGTCCAAAGTTTTGAGATATTTTTTGAGTTAATTTAATATTTTCTAACAGAAACGATTATTCCGATTTTTCCAGACAATCATGCTAATATAAATAACTTCACAGAAAAATAATCTACAATGGAATTCTCGGAAAAATATATAATCCCATAAGGCATTTTTTTATCAGAAAAAAAAAGAAATCCAGCCCTATAAAATATTGAGATTTGCAAATTAATGATCTCGTGATGCTAATTTGAATGATGCCATTATGCATACTAATTTTCTCAACCGGAGATAATAAATGGCTCACGTTTACAGCCGCAAGTAAAATAGATTCACAAAATTAGATTCATACATTTGTGTCTGATAGATGAAACCCCAAGAAAAACAAACTGTGTTGTGGAACATCTCTAAAGTAGAGAGCGAAAAAAATATAGGGGAACGGACTTGAACTATCTTTTCCCACCAGCAGTCCCGCACTTCGCACGAACACACACTGACTCAAACGACTGCCCCGCTTGGCGGTGCCAATTTCGCCAAACAACAAAAAAATAATAATAATATTGCCGTCCCGTGCATTAATAAAAAATTCGCAATATCCAGGTTTTATTTTTGATTTACGCCACCAGCCATCACGTACGATCTGGAGAAAATAGGCTGAATGTAGGGACCTTCGCTTCCGTGGATAAAGTCATGCAAATGTAATAAGCATGACAAACTAATTACATAATTTTAACGTCATTCCCCTGATGATGATCGGTCAGTTGTATATGGAAAATATGGGACAAAGAAACCGCAAACCAAAATTTAACAAAACATGCCTATTGTAGATAAAGGAGAGACCATATTTTAAAACCGATGTGTTTATGTGGGGCTGAGATGGATGGAATAATAGGAGAGGAGGAGGGGAGAGGGGGGGCAATACCTAAAACTCTAGGAACCGTACGATGTGTTTAGGGGAATGTTGATGGAACGGCTTCTGTTTTGGGGGAACAGCAAGAGATTGTGAGTGAGAAAATAATTCTCTTTTGTTGTTCGTGTGTCCCAATTCTTCCGTCTTCTGTTCCATTCCATCTTCTTCTCTATCTATCTCTCACCCCACGGTTTCATGAAATTATGTAACGACCTTCACAAAACAATCTACAATACTTTGTGTAATAATATTTCATTATCTTATTGTACATAGATAGATAGAGGATAAAAAATCTCAGCCTTACACAGGTGCTCACCCAAAAAAATATTAGTGTCGGCCAAAAAAAAAAATATGCTCATATCTTTCTCTCCTATTTCAATGCGGTGAAAAAAAAAAGATCTTCCAGAAAAAAATGTACTACCCCTATTCCCGATGAGAGAGGTGTTTTTCAGTTATTGTTTTTGCTCCAGGTTTTTTTTAGTAGCACATTCTTTATATTGAAAGATAATAATTGACTCGTTGTTCTTTGACATTCCAATTGAAGCGAATTATTTTTATTTAATGCGGAGTTGTTGTTGTAGCCCATCTCTTTATGCGTGTATCGGTATATGTGGGCGGTGAACATTTTTGTATGATTAAGTAAATAGAATAAAACGAAATGAATACCCATGGCTTCTCGGGGAGAGTCATGTACTGTACATGAATCTATGCGATTAGGGGTAGAAACAAAAATTGTTCAAAGCAACGATAACGCATGCATGCGTCTGACACTAAAAAAAATGGATGTTCTCCTATACAGCCGTACTTTAATTGTCTGTCTGTTTGTCAATTTTTTCGATTCTGCCGTAGGGACCGAAAAAAATATTTTTTTATTATTTTGTTGAACAATTACGATTCATCTTTCAATACTACAAGCCCTTATGGATTACTAAAAACTATTAATAATCTCTCGGCTCGGAACTTACCAAAGAAACCGTCCATATGCAAATACTTCATTCACTCTAAACTATTTCCGATTGGAATCTTTAGGTGCACTGTTACTATAATCCCAGGGCCGAACAATCCCTCGAGCAAATGAAAACAAAATCCAGATCGATCGTACCGCACAGCCTCTTGTGGGTTTCACTTTAACGATATTGTCGGACCGTGCGCGCCGAAACCCCATTCAAATTACTTATTAATTGAAAGGAGACCTTGCCTAAATACCGACACCCGTGTTGTCGCGTTCTTTGTTTACTATAAGAAATGTTGAGATTTGTTCTATTATTAGCTTGATTAGGTAGTGGTGCCATGCCATCATGTCCTTGGCCTGGCCCTCCGAGCCCCTCGTTTTGTTGGCGAAGGATCCCCCCCCTCCACCAAACGGAATTTTTATCGAACCGTTTATTCTTTATTATTTTTGAACCGTACGGGAAGTTGTAGTACTGGGCCTTTTGTTTTTTTTCTGTGTTGACGTCGGAATTGATGGTGGGGAACTACATACAAAATAAAGAATTGTTTAGTGCCTTGTCCCGATTTGAAAGGTGTATGTATTTTTTTTTGCAATTTAAAATTAAATCAGCCGTATTGATTTAATTGCTTTTTTATTTTTTAGGGTTGAAAGCACAGAAAAATTTTAGAACCGACCGACATAGCTGCTACTCCTATTTTTTGCAAAAACTGTAATAAATTTTATATAAAAGTAAATTAAAAGTTGCATAAATTGAATTTTTAAATATTAAATATCTTTAAAACGAATTTTCGTATTTTTTAATTTTAGTTGTATGAATATTGTATAATTAAAAAAGACACTCATAGACACAGACATTTATAAAACACACAGACAGACAATAAAAAATGATATCCATAATGCCAAATAATTTAAACAGTAGTGCTACCAATGGCAATAGTACATCCTCAGCGGTTAACCCGGCTATTCCACAACAATACCAACCATTACCATATCCATATAGCACACCACATCAACAACCGCAACAGCATAATCTTCAAGCATACAGTACCAGCAGCCGTCCAAACAGTTCACCATCACCAACCATTCAACCTCAACAACAACCAACTCCACAATCTGGACCTGGGTTTAGATTACCATCTATTCATTCATTAGACATTCCATCATTCCCAAGCACAAATAGACCGTCTATACCTCAAAGCAACACTGCCCAATATTTACCACCATTTCAATACAACAAAACATCTCCAAAAGTATTATTCCCCAAACAAGAACAACAGCAACATAGCCAAGCTAGTCATTTAATGAGTCCAATCTCATCTCCATACAATTCAGAAGCATCAATAATGTCAAGATCAAGAAGTTCATCTGATCCAATCAGATTCAAGAGTGAATTTGCATCTCCATCTCCATTAAACCAATCCGCAGCTCAAAGACAACCACAGTATTTGCAACCCCCATCACCTCCATCTATGATGATGCCATCCCCACAACCACAATACAACTATGCTGCTCCAGTTGTCAATCCCACTGCAAGCAATGTGAGTATGATGATGAATACTGATTCTTCTTCAGATGAAATGATGTCAACTGCTCCAACTTCAGCGAATAGTTCTCCATCTCCAATCCCAAGTAATGCTACTAATACTGCAGCCAGACGTAATTGGAAACCACGTAAGAAGAGACAATGTCCAGAATGTAAATTATTTTTTTCCAATTTAGCAACTCATAAATCAACTCATTTAAAACCAACTAATCGTCCTCATATTTGTAAATATTGTCAACGAGGATTTGCTAGACCAAATGATTTATTTAGACATGTTAAATGTCATTGGAAAGAAATTGGAAGTGATAAAGGACAATTCAAATGTCCATTCAAATTACTTGAAGATGGTAATACTACTGGTGGTACTGATCATTGTTGTCATAATACTGGTATTTTCAGTAGATGTGATACTTTTAAGAATCATTTGAAAGCTATTCATTTTCAATATCCAAATGGAACTAAAAAAGATCAAAGAACAAAAGTTAATGGGAAATGTAGAATGTGTCAAATGGAATTTTCTAATGTTGATGATTGGTTACTGAATCATATTCAAAAGAATCAATGTCCTTTTACTATTAATATTATTAATAAGGAATAAATGACATATAAAAAGTTTACGTTTGCTATTTTAATTTTATGATTTTACATGGGTTTGTTTCACTTACTTATTTTGGGAATATTGGGAAGGTGTTTTATAGTTTTGGTTGGACTTTTATTAGAATAAAGATATTATCAACACCAATTAGTGTATACTTTTATATATATATATTTATGTATATTATTATACGTTTTAATGAAACTGTATAACTTTACAAAAGTAGAAATATTAATTAAAACTTGTAGAGATATTTTGCAGCCAAAGAGAAATGATGTAGGGCGCATATATGGTTCCGCACTGGACTTGGGGTTTGTCCAGAAAAGTTGGTACGATGGTTCTAAATTTCCAGAACCAGGTCGGGTAACCTAGTTAAAATTTCTCAATTCCACCACTTTCTCGTGCTGAAGGAGCTTTCGCATTACGTCCGTGGGGACCAACATTTGATACGGTCCGTGCCAAAAATAAAGCACTAAAAACGATTCATTAAAAGTTCTTTCTTCACCACAATCCCCCCTCGTTTTATACTCTCCAGGATTTCATTTCCTTCATAGGCTGATTCGTGTTGTGTATATAACCTTCTTTGTAAACGTGTACAGTGACAATATATGTCTATTTATGTAAACAACAACAATAACGTGGGGGGTTCTTTCATCTGATCTTACAGATCTTCGACGTGTGAATCAGAAAACGTTAAAACTCCCGAGCTATTTGAATAGTTCTAGAGACATGGTGAGTGTACTAAACAAAGCAAAGTGGTTCGCTGTCCTTGACTTTAAAGCAACTTATAACCAAATTAGATGACAGAGACATCATTTGGCATTATTACTCATATGATTTTACTACATTACTTTTTGGGGCAGCTAATGCACCATTTGCTTTTTCTCAGATTTTATTAAACATATTACCAAGTTTTTCTAATCTTTGGTATACTAAGCTTTTATATTATCACCTTCTGAATATTGATGATGTGATTGTAACAAGTATCTCCACAGGACCTGTCTATCCTCACTTTGTTTTAATAATTATTTAAAGATATATTTACTTGGAGTCCATTGTTATTCAAAATCTTACATACATGTTGAATGGTATTCACATGTTCATCAACAAAGAATATCATCCATATAGGAAAATGCGCCTTCTTCTCTTGGTAATATGTTTAATAATAATTGTAAAAATACCAATGGGCGCATTCACTGACCCAAAATGCAATGCTGTAAAGTTGTACTTATCCATGTGAGTAATTCGTTTCTTGCTGTCTCTGCCGTGGGTTTTCAATGATTATCGTGTCAAGATTCGGTAAAACATAAAATGACACCTGAAACGCTTTGCCAAAGTTATTTCAGTGCCGCACATGCGATTTTCTGGGTTCCTCTTAGCGCTTATTTTGAAATGATAGGTATTCTTGATGCTTCTTGTATCCAGGATACAACCATAACAATTCGTCATCTATGAAATTTGCTTTTTGAGCTCCAGAATCTGATAATATAGGACAAGACATGTCATTAATATTGGTTATTGCGATGTCTTGCCTTCGTGACCATGTCATATATATCGAAATTAACATCTCGATCTGTCGTCTCGCCGCCATCGATCGTATCAAGTTCTTCAAAGCGGCGATTAATCTCCATAATGTTAATTCACGTCTCACCTCTATCCTCTGTATGCAAATTAATTGCATCTTCATCTGCTGGTTCAAAACCTTTCATGACATTGCCATCATCAGATTCTCTTTTGTATGTCATGTTGTCAAATCTAGGAGTTATGCCATCCCTTTCCCCTTTGATTCTGTAGAATCTATTGTTACTATGATAAAACTATCCTCCGTTGAACTTTTTGCTGACCATGTTGTTTGATCTTATTGTAGCTGGACTTATTGTCAGATAATTTATTAGACTTCTTATTAACCTTTGGACACCTTTGATTGTTTAGTTGATACTGTCATGTCTTTGGTTACCTATAGCCTGTATAACGTTGGATAGCCTAGATATCAAACAGTGACTGATTAATTGGCTCTCCGGGGAAATTTAAATTTCCAAATACTTGTGGAACATAAATGAAATAAAATGAAGGAGTCGATAAACGTCTAAGATTTTCTTGTTCGGGTGAAACCAATGTGATCTACAAAGTGTAAACCATAATTTAAAACAAGCTCTCTTATTACCAGGAGTCTCATATTTACATAAAGTACAATACTTCGATTTCGAAAGAAAGAAATAATTTAAGAGTAAACCCCTCGTTTTCGATGTAGAAATTCTGAGTTGAAGTATTGCATCAGATAAATATAATAGAAAAAGAATATTATTTCTGTATGCAGACTACATCTCACGTGCGAAACCTCGTGAAATGCCACCGGAAGTCAATTTTAACACAGAACGCGTTTCAAACATTTTATAAAAAATATTTTTAAGAAGAATAAAAAATATATTTTTGTTAGTAATATAAAAGTCACATGAATCTCACATGAAAGTCATGTGAAAGTCACATGGATCTTTTAAAAAAATAAATCTGAGAAGTGTTGCAACTGGGTGCAAAAAAACAGATGTTCTTTTTTATTGTAGAATCCCCTAATAAAGTACATTAAAATTAGTTCATAGTCTTGAAAGGCATCCTAAAAGAGAATATGGACGTTTGTTTGAGTTATTTAGTTAGTATAGTGGTAGTTTTTTCCACATTTGTTATTTCTTGTAAAATCTCAAGAAATTTGGTCAATTTTTCTCTATAAAATGAATTACTAAAATTCAAAATCAGCTAAATATTTTCAATTAACATTAGAATCACATGCATAGCTTCGTAGTGCCATAAATGAAGTGTATAATGGAGTAAATCAATGAGATAGTCTAATTGACGGGATTTATATTGCATTGAATGACAATGGAATATGAATTCCATAGGAACTCTCTGAAATTGCCCAGGTTGATATCGGAAATGGTTCCTATACTTTAGATCTGAATCTGTCGTGTCTATTGCTCCAAATACAAACTTCGTTTATATTAGCGCCAGATGATGAGCTCACTAGCCCATGTCTTTGTCATTTTTTTATGGTAGTTTTAGCTTTGTTGAATCATTTCCAGGCATGTATTTCACAGCAAGAAACTGTCAAAGGAGTTGATCTGCTGTTAGCTTTGAAACTAGGTCAATGTGATTTCTTTATCAGAGTAATCTAAGGCTTTAATGAGGGAACATAAATGAACCATTGAACATTTGTTAGTACATTCTTTTCTTTGACGAATCAGAGAGATATAATTTTTCTTATAAAAATAATTTTCATTCCATGGAAGCATTTATCACAGTTCTTCGACATTTGACTAGTTAGATACTTATGATTATTCGTCATGCTACAATGCTAATATCCTATGCTGGTTGCAAAACTTAACCGTTGGCTTCGCAAAAAAAAAAACTTAACAGAAAATGGCCTTTAACGCAAAAAACTCTCACAGTTCTTCTGCAGACTGATATCCACTTGAATACGAAGGATCATACTCCATAGTATGTCAGAAAAGTGTACGGACAAATGCCGAATGTGCTAAACTAATGTAACTTGAACACATTGGCTGATATCAAGAAGCAGTAACTAGATGTTAATGCAAACTTCTTTAAGTAATCTGAGCATCACCAAAAACAGGTTCTCTTGGGAAACTGACTAAGCATATTAACTCAAGTAAATAATTGTTCTTGGCTCACCTTACTTAGAAAACTATCGATTTAGAAGAAATAGAAAAGAAACTAGGCAGATGATAAGGGAATGAGGACCACTTAACATTATATAAAGAATATTACAGATATAATGTCTATTATTTATAAAATTCCATAGTTAGCAAGATCAACTCTTGCTTCAAACGCAACCTAGAAAGTAATTAGAATAGAAACAGCCAGAAATTCCCAGGGCGGCTTGGTATAAATATTTTCTTGCTTAAACTATATACTACTTACTAAGGAAGATGAATAGCGAGAATCTTTTAGTCTCGTCTTCACACATGATGAGAACTTCTCCCATAATGATTCAACATGCAACTTTTCATTAAAATTCGATACCAGAAACACTACAAAAAAGTTGAAATAAGTGGTTAATAAGGCATAACTGATAATACAAAACCTTGTTCACTTATTGTATCCATTGTTTTCATTAACTATATAAGACTATTAATAGTTCAATTTTATGAGCGTTATCCACTTGTGTTCTCTGCTCAATTCAGTATTCAGAATGGAGCTAGTCGACTGGGGTTTGATACGAAATTCAATCGAATTAGTCTGTACTTCAAAAAGAGAGAAAGAGAGTCGACCGCTGATGAGGATAATGAAGATCTTCGTCAAACTTGCGAAGAGTTTTTGGATGATATACACAAGCTTTCTTGTAAATTAGTTATTAATGTTCTAATATAGAGCCGTCAATTTAGTTTTGACTTCATATCAATATGCGTACTAATTACTTCGTTGATATCCTCTTTTTGCGATGACTGCATAGAGCGTTCACCCAGTCCACTTTAATTAAACAACCTCAGTACTACGAAGCAATTTTAAAAATCAAAATAGTCTATCCTAGTGTATATATTGCAAGAAGCAGGAAAGAACTACCTGTTTGATGTCTTTCATCTCAATCATCGACATCTTTCTTTTCGGAAGACGCGGGCATATGGCTGATTTTTCAATCCCTTACTATGCAATATAGTCTAGTGTTGGTTTGCTCTTTGTTAAAATTGTGGAGTTGTCATAATAGGTAATGGTTTGCAACTGGAGCTTAAAGACAATGTCGTATGAACAATTAAATGTAACAATCTGCCATAAACTGAGGGGGGATTCACATTCCGTACTTAGAATTTGTTAGTATGGGGAGTACCATACAAAATATATTTTTCGTATGCCAGAAGTTACCATACATACTGGTGAGAAATTCCCAGGTTAGCTCGGTTAAAATACAAATTAATTCGCTTAGTTCAACTATATACTACTAATAACTATGTAAGATGGTCTGAGAAAAGTTTTCACTCTCGTCGTCGCCCATTAGGAGATTCTCTCCCCTAATATGCAGGATACGACATAAATATTTTCACCACTCCCCTTAATCATTATCACCGTAATGAGTACTTGATAAATTTAGTTGAATCCTGCTTTGTGTTACATGATTCATGTCAATAGCCATTCAGTGATTTTGATGTTAAATAGTATAATACAGCTGCAAAAAAAAATAAAAATCCAAAAGGAAATGGATGGGAAATCCTCAATGTTGGATGGAGGATGAAAACCCACCCGCCTGACAATTGACTACGACCGGTTTTGAAGGTAATTCATGGTTCAAGATAAATATACCTCTACTCAATTCCAGTTGGTCGTCGAAATAGGTGTCAGGGGAACTAGTGTTGAACTCTCAAAAGTATGCTCCACGTAGAATGTCCACGTCACGTTAGTATGATGCATTGTCGGAGATATTCGTAATGGTAATGTGTCTATCAACGATATGGATTATGCATAAGGAAGTGGAATTCTGGGAAGATTAGTCTATTCATTATTTGGCTTTATTAATTATAGAAATTTCTTTAAAATTTTTATGACTCAAACGATTTCACAAGTTCTTCAGTGTTATTCATATTTGCTGTTATTCTGGGCACTTTGTAACTTAAACTGATTTTCTATTTTTATTAGTTTTATTTTCTATTATTCATGAGATGTATAAGAACCTTTCTGACATTTGCGATCCATGAGCGACCGAAACGTCTCATGTACCATGTCGGTAGGTAAGGAATTCGTATAATATTCTACTCTGGAAAAATGACTCTCTTGGAAGGATAATTAAGGACAGGGTAATGGTATTTCTTAAATGTTTCAACACGGCATGGGAATAAATAATACGGACCAAGGTATTGCTTGAATGTTTCCCTGCATTCACACGGTCTTTCAGCGGCAACACGTGGCTAGTAGGTTCATGAGTGATGAATGGGCCCCCTTTTGGGTACCAGGCTTTTTAAACCCCATGAGGTGTAATGGATAAATTCTTTGATGATGTAGTTGTACGTTCTCCCCTCTTTCTCTGTTCGGCTGATATTCCAGACATTCTTCTCCCCCGAAACATGTGTGCAACTCAAATACGTACCAGATACTTTATGTTTTATTTTGATTCAATATGCTTCCGCATGTTTCCTAGATTGGGATATCATGAACGAGAAAGCCATTATATTGGACAATAATATTCGTTGTTGACTTCAACTTCACTATAATCTTCTCCCCTTGAAGAGGAAGCTTAAGGAATATAGTTGGAATGATGTTTGTTTTTGCGAATGATGCTGTTGATTGATATGATACTCCAAATTGTGGTGGTCGGGGTGACCGGGGCCCCTTTTCTGCATTTTGTACTTTCTGACTGTCTGGCTTCTATCACTCGTGGATCCAGTACATCCAAACCTTGAATTACGGATGCTATTAAAATCGTTGGTTGTCTTTCGTAATCTTCATCCTCATCAAAACCTTTCATGACATTGCCATCATCAGATTCTCTTTTGTATGTCACGTCGGAGTTATGCCATCCCATTCCCCTTTGATTCTGTAGAATCTATTGTTACTCATGTTGTTTGTAACTGGACTTATTGTCAGATAATTTATTAGACTTCTTATTAACCTTTGGACACCTTTGATTGTTTAGCTGATACTGTAATCTCTTTGGTTACCTGTAGCCTGTATAACGTCGGATAGCCTGGATATCAAACAGTGACTGATTAATTTGTTTTCCTGGGAAAATTGAATGCGCAAATACTTGTAGAATATAAATGACATAAAATGAAGCGGAGCTGATAAACGTCTAAGATTTTCTTTTTCGGATGAAACCAATGTGATCTTCAAAGTTGTAAACCATAATTTAAAACAAGTTCTCCAATTACCAGGAATCTCATATTTACATAAAGTACAATGCTTTGACCTAGAAAGAAATAAAGAAATACAATTAAGATTAAAAACCCCTCGTTTTCATTCAAGAAATTCGCGTTCAATGATTCTTGTTGGTTAAATAAATAAAATTAAACTTTAGAAAAATAAAATTGAAACGTACTTAAACAAAAACAAACAAACGTCGAAGTGAAACCGAACAACATCTGAGATTGGCAGCCGAACAGTCTCGAGACATTTTGCAGTATTTCCATTCAAATTGAAAATGAAGAACACGAATGTTAGAATATGTCTGCAGTGTAAAAAGAAGAGACCTAACAATGAACGATTAGAAACCAGAAAGTACAAAATGTGTTCAAAGTGTCGTCTCTATTGGCATCAAAAATATAAGAAAACCCGAAAGTATATCGAGGAGAGTAATAATAATGGGATTAGGTTATGTACCAAATGTGGAAAGGAGAGACCAGACGATGAACCAGAGGAAGCACGGAAGTTCAAGAGGTGCACACAATGTCGTCTTTATGGTCAGCAATGGTACCAAAAGAGTCAAACAAATATCATAGATCACTTTAATAGTGGAGCTCGAATATGTACCAGCTGTCGAAAAGAGAGACCCGACGATGAACCAGAGGAAACCAGAAAGTTCAAATACTGTTCAAACTGTCGTCTCTATTGGCGAAATACACACAGGGCACGAAGAAAGAATCGGAATCGGGCCATATTAGCCCCCCCCACCCCAGTTCAAGTCGTCAGCGCTAATACTCGAGCTCGAACTCGATCACGTACGAATAGGACATCCACTAGTTCCCGGGTGCAGTCAACATCTGGGATTCAACGTAACCAAAACTTCAGCACAGGCACCGACGATCAGCATACGCGCCTGCGTACTTCGAAGTCAGGGATGATCTCTCCCCATCAAGAGATACCAGTTATCCAATCAAAGCATACAAGACTGGCATGTAATAGAAACACAGGAACTATGGATGATCCAATCAATCTAGGGCTTTCTGCCTACAGTGGCATACCGTATGTGGAAATTATCTCAATCGATGAAGATGAAATTAACGAGGTCTCCGAGGAAGCACGGACTGAAATGGCTAGTCACTCATCTTCAAATTTCCTTGAGACATTGAAGCCAGATCCTGCATTGAAATGCGAGTATCAGAAGTATTTCGTCAACAATGATCTCGTAGGGTTTTTGGAGCGTTATATACCGGACACAATGAACAAGTTTGATGTTCGCAAAATGATCGTCGCTTTAGGGTATCCTAAAGAAAGTATAAAGAATTATGAACATCTCACAGTGAGTGATACTCTTGAAGTTTTGATGGATTTGATGCGCACAGACGTGTTGCATGATGGGTCAAGCCAAGAAGGTAGGCGAAAGTATCATCGATTAGTTAAATAGGTGAGTTAGGTATTTAACACATCGTTCAAACAGAGCTGAAGGATGCAAGAATTGAAAAATAAGGAGATCAGGTTTAGGCTCGAAAAGACTTCCTAATTGGGAAATCATTACCCCGGGTATTGTTCATTTCGGGAATAACTCCGATCGATAAATTCATTTTTTGCATAATAGCCCCAAAGGACCCACCCTTTTTGGTTATATCACACCTAAAACTTGAGTAAAAAATGGACTTTTTGTATTTATAGAGATATATCGCGTTGATTCCTTCTTTGCGTGGATTCTTTGTTCAAAACTAAGCAAATAATAATGTCAATTGAGTTAAAATATATGAACTTAGCAATTCTGGATTAAAGATTTCTCCCGTCATCGTTGGATGCATCCCATATGGATCCAAGGAGTGGGCTGAATGGGTCATTGAAGATAAAGAGGAAATATTCAAATCTTAAAGAAATTATATGATGGGTTACGTACTTTTGATACTGCTGATGTTTATTCGAATGGTAAATCTGAATTTTGTCTGAATCTGAAAAACAGATTATTGGAAGGATTGAAATCTTAGCTAAAAAGCATAATGTTAGTATGGCAGATCTTGCTACCAGTTGAGTTATTGATAAGAAGTGTAATCCAATTGTCGATCTTTCTTCTCTTAAGAGAGTGGATGATATAATAGCGACTACTACTATTCAGTTGACCAAAGACGAAGTCAAATACTTAGAGGAGCCTTATGTTGCAAAGGCTAGCTTGTTTTAGAATTATCTCTTTTGCATGTGTAGGAAGTAGACTGAATTTTTTAATACTATTCAAACATCCTTCTGTGGACTAATGCTTAGGTAGCAGATGTAAATCATTATACTCCGATGTGGCAGACGTGGCAATAACGTATACAGTGGCATCGATCTACAAATTGTAATCTTATATTTACATTCAGTGCAATACTTTGACTTAGAAAGAAAGAAATAATTAAGAATAAACCCCTCGTTTTCGATGTAGAAATTCGCGTTCTTGTTGGTTAGTTAAATAAAATGAAACTTTAAAAAAATAAATTCGATATTACTAAAACAAAACAAAACTCGTCGAAGTCAGCATCTGAAATTAGTAGCAGAACAATCTAGAGAAGTTTTACAATATTTCAATTCAAATTATTATTCATCTGCAGAAAATGAAGAACACGAATGTTAGAATATGTCTGTACTGTAAAAAGAAGAGGCCCAACAATGAACCAACAAAAACCAGAAAGTTTAAATTGTGTACAGAGTGTCGTCTCTTCAAGCGTCGAAGACACAGCGACATCCGACGAGTCATCAAGGAGAGTTGCAATAATGGACTTCGGTTATGTACCAAATGTGGAAAGGAGAGACCGGACGATGAACCAGAGGAGACCAGAAAGTTCAAGTTTTGCGAAGAATGCCGTCTCTACGCGCGTTCTCATGTTAAGAAAACCCGACATGATCGCTTAAATAGTGGACTTAGGTTATGTACCAAATGTGTAAAGGAGAGGCCCAACAATGAGCCATTAGAAAGCAGAAAGTTTAAATTGTGCACAAAGTGTCGTATCGAAGGGCTTGAACAGCGAAAGAAAAGACTAAGGAATATAAAGGAGAGATGTAATTCTGGAATTAGGTTATGTGCCAGATGTGGAAAGAAGAGGCCCAACAATGAACCGTTAAAAACCAGAATGCTTAAACTGTGCACAAAGTGTCGTCTCTCTGATCGTCGAAGAAATACCGATATCCGACGATGCATCGAGGAGAGTCGTAATTCTGGAATTAGGTTATGTACCAAATGTGGAAAGGAGAGACCAGACGATGAGCCAGGGGAAGACAGAAAGTTGAAGCAGTGCACACAATGTCGTCTTTATGGTCAACAATTGCAGCAAACAAATAAGAGAAATATCCTAGATCGCTTGAATAGTGGTGTTAGATTATGTACCAACTGTGGAAAGGAGAGACCAGACGATGAAGCAGAGGAAGCCAGAAAGTACAAAATGTGTTCAAACTGTCGTCTGCAAAGGAGAGAAAAATACTATCAGATCCGAAGATTTTTAAATGAAAGTTATAAAAATGGGATTAGGTTCTGTACCAAATGTGAAAAGCAGAGACCGGACGATGAAGCAGAGGAAGACAGAAAGTTCAAGCTGTGCACACAATGTCGTCTTTATGGTCAACAATTGCAGCAAACAAATAAGAGAAATATCCTAGATCGCTTGAATAATGGTGTTAGATTATGTACCAGCTGTGGAAAGGAGAGACCAGACGATGAAGCAGAGGAAGCCAGAAAGTTCAAACGGTGTTCAAACTGTCGTCTGCAAAGTAGAGAAAGATACCATCAGATCCGAAGATTTTTAAATGAAAGTTATAAAAATGGGATTAGGTTATGTAACAAATGTGGAAAGCAGAGACCGGACGATGAAGCAGAGGAAGACAGAAAGTTCAAATACTGCTCAAGCTGTCGTCTCGATTTGCGAAATAGCACCAGGGCACGAAGAAAGAATCGGAATCGGGCTATATTACCTTCTCCCACCCCAGTTCAAATGGTCAGCGCTAATACTCGAGCCAGAACTCGGTCACGTACGGATAGGGCATCCAATAGTTCCCAAGTCCAGTCAACATCTGGGATTCAACATAACCAAAATTTCGCCTTAGGCACCGACAAACGGCAAACGCGCCTGCATACTTTGAAGTCAGGGATGATCTCTCCCCATCAAGAAATAGCTGAAATACAATTGAAGCATGCAAGACTAGCATGCAATGGAAACACAGGAACTATGGATGATCCAAACAATCTAGGGCTTTCTGCCTACAGTGACATACCGTATGTGGAAATTATCTCAAGCGATGAAGATGAAATTAACGAGGTCTCCGAGGAAGCACGGACTGAAATGGCTAGTCACTCATCTTCAAATTTCCTTGAGACATTGAAGCCAGATCCTGCATTGAAATGCGAGTATCAGAAGTATTTCGTCAACAATAATCTCGTGGGGTTTTTGGAGCGTTATATACCGGACACAATGAACAAGTTTGATGTTTGCAAAATAATTGTCGCTTTGGGGTATCCTAAGGAAAGTATAAAGAATTATGAACATCTTACGGTGAGTGATACTCTTGAAGTTTTGATCGATTTGATGCGCACAGACGTGTTGCATGATGGGGTCAAACCAAGAAGGTAGGCGAAAGCATCATAGATTAGTTAAATAGTGCGTATAGTATCTACCACATTGTTAAAACAGTAGTAGAGTATGTAAGAATTGAAAAATAGAGGTCAGGATTAACCTCGAATTAGGAAAGCATTACCCCGAGTATTGTTCATTTCGGGAATAACTCCGATATTCTCAGTTTTGCATAACAACCCCGAAACCAACCACCCGCTTTTGGTTATAAAATTGTTCCAAGAATACTTCTTTGTCCGATTTTATTCCTTCTGGTCCGTTTTGAAATAAAGCTTCCCAACAATTTTTTTGGTCTCACTAGCCATACTAAACCAAAAAATAAAACAAACAATTTGGAACCGGACTTAACAGGAAAAAGGGGGGCAGAAATGGAACACGTTTATGGAAATTTCATCTTGGGTTTAATTTTGGATCCGAAACAAACCCATTCTATTCTTAAACCGTTTATTCTCTCTTGTGATGTTTGTTTATCATTCTAATAATAGAAAAGAAGTTATAATTATTCTGAGAAGTTGTAGTTAAGGGTACCGTTGATTCCATGAAACAGTTTTTTTCTGCTTATCTCCGTTGTGATTGCGAAAAGAGAAGAAAAAATAATAATAAAATGAAAAAAAAAAATTTCGTCTCAAAAAAACGTTTCTTCTTAATGTTTCTCAGTCTCTGTATAAAATAATCCATAGTTCTCGGGAATCACATTTAATAGATAAAGAAACTATTAATATTTAGAACTTAAGATACAACAACCACACACGAACTAAAGGTAAATATACGAAACAGATATACACATACACATTACCATGTATTCTAAAACAGTCAAGGCATTAATACTTCTTCTATTAGCCACATCTCATAAGACATTTCCATTTGCTTATGTATTTAGATTTTATTATCATACAATCATTGGATTATTTATGTCTAGAACTAAATATCTTCAAACTAAAAAGAATTCATTTGGTTATAATTCTCCTCAACATTTATTCAAATGGATAACTTTAAAATCTCGAGTATCTCCTTTGGAATTAGATATGTATTTTCATAAACTGAATTCAACTTATTTCTTAGATTTAGATATTGCCAGAACAAAATTATTAACAAGAATATTACAAAACTTTTGGTGGTATAGTTATGATAATGAATCAGGTAGAAATAAAAAACCAAGAGAAATTAAGAATTTTCCATATACTCCAGTTGCAACGGTTCAATGTAGATTTATTAGAGAATTAAAACCTTTCCAAAAATTTAATATAAGTTCAAGAATTTTAGCTTGGGATAATAAATGGTTATTTGTATTATCAAAATTTACCACTCAAAAGAATAAGAAAGGTGAAGAAGTATTGAATGCAATCGCATTAACCAAGTACGTGTTTAAGAGTGGAAGAATTACTGTACCTCCAAAGGAAGCTCTTTCAATTTGTGGATTCTTAAATGAAGAAAATGAAATCATAAATCAAAAGAATATCAAATTAGTTGAATCTTTAGTTAATGTAGAAGATTTAGAAAAAGTNTTTCAATTTGTGGATTCTTAAATGAAGAAAATGAAATCATAAATCAAAAGAATATCAAATTAGTTGAATCTTTAGTTAATGTAGAAGATTTAGAAAAAGTAGCCGCTGAGATGTCATAATCCTTTACCTCATCCTCCTCTTTATAGATAATGTAGATGTACCTCATTTCATAATAACTAATTAATATACATTAAAACTTTATAAATATAGAGAAGAATATACAACTCTTAAAACAAATAAATACTCAAGCCAATCCAAAACCTTCATGACCTTCAGTAATAGCCATCAATAACGATCCTCTTAATGTTTCATAACTATCATATGCTGGAAGATCAATTTGANCTCAAGCCAATCCAAAACCTTCATGACCTTCAGTAATAGCCATCAATAACGATCCTCTTAATGTTTCATAACTATCATATGCTGGAAGATCAATTTGATTAAAACAGGTATGTGATGACGGTAATCTATCAGTTGATCCATAATCACGATGAATACTAAATTTACATGTCCCACTGGCACCACTTAATTCTTTAAACCCATTCAATGGAACCTTTGAAGTCCCAGTAGCAAATTGCAACAATCTTGCTCGTTCTTCATTATCAAATGATTTAACTGCTCTCCAAAACCATTGGATTTGTAATGAAGATGGAGAATAATTATTATAAATAGTATTATTCTGCCAATCCAAGACATCAATATCAGGTAATCCAGAAATTAATAATTCTAATTCTTGTTCATCAAAAATTGCAATTAAATCTTTTGGAATTATTTCATGGAAACCAATTAAGAAATTATCCATTTGTTCAGCAACAGAAGTTTGTAATTTATATTCAACAACTTTTCGAACATATTCTTGTTTATTTTCTTCAGTAACTGGAATATTCCTACCATTGGGAATTAAATCAATAATCTTATGTTCTCCATAATCATCACTTTCAACCGAAAAATCTTCAGTAATAACATCAGTTATATCATTTTCTAACATCCACATTAATGATTTAAAATATTCTAAATCTAATGATTCCATATCTTTCAATGATTGTGGTCGACTTAAAATCCTCTTATAAACAGCACGAGAGAAATGACAATCTAAATAACAATTATCAAATATTGCTTTCCCAATTATTCTACCAATAAATTTGAAAAATGATAAATGTTCTGGATTAATATATGAAGTTCTATTTGGATGGAAAGTGGTTTTATCACTTACAACTGGGGTAAAAAGGGCATAATCAGGATTAAACATTTGTCTACTCAAAACCTGATACCATTCTCTAGTAACTCCACCAGCATCAATACCTTGTTCACCTTTGAAATTAATATCCAATTGAGAATTTCTAAATTCATCTTTTGGTTTGAAAAATAATGCTCGATAAGAATCTAAAAATACTTGTTCACGACGAACATTAACAGTTAATTTATGATTCTCTTTTTTATCTTCATGTAATTTTCGATCAAAATAATTCTTCTTATTATCAAATTCTAATACTCTTGGATTTCTAACCAACATACCAAATGGACCACTCATTAAATTAGGATTCCCTCTAACCATTTGATTAAGAATCTTCTTATGTTCATCAGTAAATGAAAAAAACAATGACTCAATTGGTTCCTTTGTAAAATCAATCTTCTTGGCTTCATATTTCAAGCAATCCTTAATAGGTAATTCTCTAACTTTACTATGTTTGCAAACAACCATTAATGCCTCAATTAATGGTAACAATGCATTGGCAACAGTATGTAATTGTGGTTTCTCTTCCAATACTCTCAAACACTCACTCAAAGCATCCCAAAGATTACCTAACGCTAACTTCCTATACAACCCAGTCAATTCTTCAATTTCATCCAAAGCTTCTTTGGTCTTCTTATCACCACCGTCACCACCAGATTCAGAATCTTCTTCTTGTTTCTTTTCACGTTCTTTGGTTTCAAACATATAATCTAATGCCGTTAAAATACGTAATAATTTAGCTTGATCAGATGAATGAGCACTAAATTTGGAAAATAATTTACTATCAGAACTATAATTGACTCCCTGTAATTCTTTTGTTAAACTATTCAAATCAATAATAATTTTATGACCTAATGAAGATGCTTGATCGGATAATTCTAATGAAAATATCTTTTGCGCATTTGATAATCCTGACATATTTTGCATAGCACTAATAGTTCTTCTAAAGGTTGCATTGGAACAATCATTACTTGCCAAGATCTTAATAATTTGACGATAATTTTCACTAGGCACAGTAGGGGGAACAAATGGACTAGCCTTTTCTTGCTTTTTATGCATCACTTGTAAAGGACGGGTAGTGACTTGTAATACTCTAGCTAAAATATCCAAAAATGTTTGATCTTCTATAACTAATGGATTCTCAAGAAGCATTAATAAATAATTAAGGGCAAACTTAGTTTCTTTAGATGATATATTCAATTTAGCTGCATTCTTATGAACCTTCTTAACAATAAATGGATTTTCATGTTCGGTTAATAAATAATATCTTAAATGACTATTACGTTCTAATAAATAATCAACAGCTTCAATAATTTGAATACCAACAGAAATTTGAGTAGCTCCAATTGGAAGCTTGTATACTTTCTTTTGATCTTTTGAACCATTAGCCCGGTTGCAAACTTGAGAATAGATCTTTTCAATTGGACGTTGATATGTAAAACAATCATGAAGAATGGCAATCATTAAACTCATAATTTCAATTCTAGTTTGTTTATTATTACTCATATATTGTAATGAATGATAAATATATTCCCTTTGACTTATTGATACCGGAGAAAATAAAAGCCTTATTAATGCAGATACACCCGGTTTGTCAACTAATGGAGTGAAAAACACCTTCTTTGAAACTTTCTTGATTGTTGGAACTGTACTTCCCCGCCTGGATGGAGCATTCGGAACAGCATCAAATTCTTGTATCATATCGTCATCTCCATCTTCAGCACCTTCTTCTTCTCTATGTTCTTCGAGTATTCTATATCTTCTTTGCATAGCCTCTTGTTGAAGGATTTCATCTCTAATGGTATCAGGTAAAGCTTCCAAGAAATCTGGATCAATTTCACGAACATCAGCACCACTATTAGTTGCATTTGCTCTTCTCTCACGAACATATTGCGTAAACACTTCTTCTCTCATATCATCAGGTAATGCTTCAAAGAAATCAGGATCAATTTCAGTTCCACCAATATCAACTTCACGATCACCAATCTGAACCATAATTGGAACATGAGGTGGTGCATTTGCTGCACTTTCTTCACGTTGTCTAACTTCCTCGGCTTTTCTCTTTTCTTCTTCTTCTTTCATTATCCTCAATTTCTCTTCCTTTTCTTTCTTGGCTTGTTCCAACTCTGCTTGTTTCTTTTTGTACAATTGAATACTATCTTCCTCGATTCGATTAATTATGGCTGGAAGGACCTTAAACGTAAATTCTTCCTTGTCCTTAGGATAAAACATTCTCATTGCATCAACCCAACGTTCCTTTGTGGATTTTACGTGAAATTCTTGAGTGTGATCAACATGTTTTTGTTGCTTTCCAATAGGGAACATCGTATCAAAGAATCGACCAACAGGATATGGTAAAACACGACTATCTTCTTGTGAAATATCAATTGTTCCTCTAAACCCAACATCACGGAATAAACTATTGAAAAGCATGGAAAGTTCTGGGGTTGCAGTAATTCCGGCTTCATCTATCAATCTTCTAACAAAGTTACCTGGACTATTCAAATTAAGCTCAAGTTCCAGAGTGGATTCAACGTCACTTAAGTTTTCATCAGACTCTTCATTTTCTTCAAAATGAATTTGTCTTTCTCTTCTTACTCTGTTTGCAGCATTTTCTTCTTGGTCCCCATCAACTTCTTCATCTTCTGATGGTTCTCCATCTTGAAGTTCTTCAATCCAACCGTCTAATTCATCTTCATCATATTCACTACTGTCTTGATCTTCCTCAAAGTCATAAAATCCGGAAGCAGAAGAACCTTCGTCACCACTTTCACCTTCGCTATGCGATCCCAAGTCTAATTCATCAATAATTTCAATATCTCCCAAGCTTCCTTCTGAATCTTCAGCCTCATCACCTTCGAAAAATTCATCGTCAATACCAGATTCATCTTCGACAGCTTCCATACTAATTTCATCGCCTTCTTCATCCGAATCTATAGCTGATAATTCCGAAGAATCATCATCAGAATCAACAATCTCATCACCAGATAATAACACTTCTAATGGACCTTCTCCGTCATAGTACATATCCTCATCATCCTCATCTTCTTCACTATCAAACTCAACATCATACATTCCTAAAGTGGAGTTCCGGAACAAATCAGGAGTCTCTTCTCTGTCATCCACATCTTCAGGTTCAACATCCACATCTTCGTTATCTCCTTGGTTATCGTCGGCAAAATACTCTTGATAATCAACTTTACTCTTACCTAAAAATGCAATGGGTTTAAGGGTAGCTTTAATTACCTTATCAACGTCTGGGAAATTCAAATCTAATTCTGCTAATAAACCTGTCAAAATATTTGCCACTTGCTTTTCAACATATACTTTAGTGATATAGTATTGATCAAATTTGGAAGCAGATTTGTTTAATAACGGACCTGCAGCATCACGGAATTTTGTGGATATCAATAAACCCGTCAATTCAAACAAGTCATACAATTTTCCATATCTTTCTTGAGCCAAGTTTTTCATAGTTGCAGTTTCTTTAATAATCTTCATCAATATTTCAACCAAGAATCTTCTAATAAATCCCAAGTCTGCATCTTCTTTCTTTGGACTTGGTTCATTCTTTTCATCAATAATCGGGGTAGAAATCAATGCCATAAGAGACATTTTTGCAATGGATGAGATAGCACAACGTCTTTCAAATTGATTTCCTGATGGCTTTTCAAACAGACGAGTTGGAATCAATTGATGGATAAAAAAATTCAAAGCTGTAGATCTAGGTTTCAATGGTTCATCAGGGTGCAACTTTTTCGAAAACGTCAAAAATTCAAACTTCGCCTGTTTATAGGATCCCAAAAGTTCAGTAATTATTTGGATAAGGAAACATGCATATGCGAAATTCTCATTTGCAAACAAATCTGATTGATTATCTTTCTTCGAAGTGTCCTTCTTGGGCTCTTCCTGAACAGGATCAGAAATCCAATCGGTTTTAGCAACATTCATTAATTCCGTTAACAACATACTGACAATAGTAGTTGATTCAATTTGTTTTGGTTGACTACTGGTACTAGTTTCCGCATCCGTCATTTCAACATCCTCTGATTCTTGCTCTTGTTTGGAAACTTTTCTTACTGGAATCTTATTAGCAAAAAATTCACCACCTCCATAGCCATCCAATCTCACATCCTTAGAAATCACATCAACAAACACATTGGCATCTCGTAAAATAAGTGACGAATTGTCCTTCAAGCAAGATTGCAAGTCTCTAATCTGTCTGAAACTACCAGTGAGTAGACCAGTCAATTCATTTGTCATATAATACTTCAATATATCTACCGTTTCAAAACAATATCTGACAATTAATACCAAACTTGTTTTCAATGATTCATAAACTGCTTTGTCTTTAATGATTTGCTTAGGAATCCGGATTAATTCTCTCAATAAATTACTGTTGGCAATCTCAACCGCAAACTTCAGGTCTTTAGCATACAAAGCAAGAACACGGGCTATTCCGTTGGCTGATCTAGGATCTGTGATTCCCTTTAATTGCAAGATACTTTCGAAGATCTTATCCATATCCAAATCTTTCATCAAGTAGTATTTATTATTGGATGTAACTCTGATACTTTCATGTTTTGTTTCCTCAGCAATCGGTGCAGTTTTGAAGATTATTACTTGTTCTAATACAGCCATTACATATTGAATATATGGTTCATTTACTCTTTCATTAGATATAACACCTGTTGACAATAATTCAGTAACAAAATCTTCATATGGATCATTTGGCCCATATACCGGTCTTTCATTTTGGAGCAACAATGCCAATAATTGCCAATCGACACCTAAAGCTTCAGAATCAGAACTTCCACCTAACAATTTAAGATCCCTACGAATTTCTTGAATTGATTCTCTCGGATTATTTGATATAAATAAATCAGCCAACACGGGTATTACCTTCGGATACAACTTTCCAATGGACAACCAATCTTCTTCAAAATCTTCTTTAAAAATTGGACGTTCAACCAAAATCTCAGAATTAGTTTTATAATGAGGAAAATCAATACTAAAATCAATATCATCTTCCTTTATGGATTCCGCAAGATCATCCCACCTAGCACCACCAATATTCAATTGAGAACAATCAATTCTTGCACCAGATGCCACCTCACTTAAAGAAAGTCCATGTTTGAAGAAATGATTTGCTTGGAATTCTGATAATCCGAGTGAAATCAAATATGCAACTTGTTCAGATGGTGGAGAAACATTTCTAATATCAAATGGTAAAAATCGATAGTTTCCAATTGATTGTACTTTTAGCTCCCCTTTTTCCAGAAGACTATTCTTACATATATATATGATCTGTTCAATCAAAGGTGATGGGATATTAGCTGGAGATTCACCATTTCCACAAATTCGTAATCTCGATTCTGATCCAACTATAGTCGATAATAAATCAATTGCAATACCTCTAATATTAATTAACAAAGTCGATATCAAATGTGGATCCACGGCATCGTCATAACCAGATTCAAAATAAAGCTTTGCATTTGGAAGATCGGGAACTATATCTGAATTAACTGATTTGGCAAATATCATTAACGATTGACTTAAGGCATTTTTAACAATACTACTCTCATGTGCACTAAGATACTTAAGATCAAGAGTTTCCTTGACTGATTCAGGATCCATTTCTAATAATTTATTCCATAACTCAATTATAATTTTCAGTAACTTATCATAAAATCCATTCTGTACAAATGAAATCGCAAGCCCCGTACATACCATGTCCTTGTTTCTTTCCTTTTGGGATAATACATATAAAGCAATATTAGCCACCCCCATTATATAACTATACTGATAATATTTGTTCTCGAATGTTCTGGTGATAGCATCTGTGAATATCTTCCCAATTTCTACAATAATTTCAACACCTTGCCTCCTAACATCATATTGAGTAAAATCTAAACGTTTTGGAATTGAAGCTCTTGCGATAGAAGCAAATATTAATGAAGCATAGCTTTGGATATAATAACTAAAGAACCTAATTTGCAATGTATTCTTAAACTTGGCACTTGTTCCATTTGGTTCCGGTGGCGTATCTGATGGTTCTTCTAAATGGGCTTGTAACGGAGGAACACCATTTGCAATAATTGTAGTAAGTTTGAACGCCTCTTTCGGAATATTGGATCTTGTAATGGTTTCTTCAATGATGCTTCGTTGTAAAAGTGCTCCCAAGTGGGTGGCTGTAGTTAATCCATAACCTCCGAAAAGATTCACAATTTGAACTAATCTTTCAGGGAACATTAATCCTAAGTTGATATAAATTTCTGTAATGGTAAACAATAATATAGTAATGGAATTCAAAAGCTGTAAAAGTCTTGTACCACTTTCATGATCCAATGTAGAAAAAAACGATTCATCTGAATGTTCATAATAAATATAATTCTGTACTTCCTTAGTCTCAAGTAAGTCAGTTAATTTTTGGATCACAACCGGTAATCCATATTCTCTATTCTCATCGTCAAAATATTTCAAGATTCCCATAAATGATGATATACCATTAGACACAATATAATCATAAGGTGCATTCTTCAATGTCAAACACTTAATCCAAGATTCAAATTTGATTTTTCTGATAACATCAGCTCCCCATTGTCCACTATCTTGAAGGAATCCACCAAGGAAATAAAAGACATTGTCAATAATATATGCATATTCAGAAGTATCCCAACATTCAATTTCTTTAGCACCTTCTTCATGAATGCCTGATTCGTCATTAGAATCTTTATAAAGTAATCCTGCATTTGAATTATAAAATTGTACACCCTGCAATTTCTCATCAACATGATCTGCAATTTCTTCAACTAATTTCTTCACTTCTTCTAGAATAATTGGCTTTAGGGATGGATAATGTCTTCCTAATTCATCAAATGAACATCCTAAATTAGTGCCCATATCGGATCTAATTAGTTCCTTTGCATTTGCAAGATTATAAAATGATTTGAAATAGGTTGAAATTGTGCCCTTTTCTTTCACTTTCCTTAAACCGGCATTATTTAAACAAATTGCACTAAGCACCTCTGGCAATGAAACTAATAATGTACTTGAAGGTAAAAATAAATGTTCATAATTCTCCAAAATTGTATCTATAACTTTAGCTTCATTAAGAATGGAAAATGCAGTTGGTTCATTATGAATGATGTAAAATACTGAATCAATTGTGGATGCTAATATCAAAGGACCAAAAATACTTGGATTTTGTAAAATCTTGTTAAAACTCGCAAGTAATGGAGAATCAAATAAATTTCTTAATCTATCTCCAACATCTGATTGTATAATATCTGAAACTAAAATCATTAAATTCCTGATATAATTAGCTTGTCTGAATGAAATTGTATAATGAACAATTGCATCCTTTGGAGCACCACCACCATAATCAGGGTTTTCTAATGCAAAATCAACTTCATATCTTATGGTATCAATCAAAGAATTAAATCCATCATTTGCCACAAAGTCATCTAAAGAATCTGGAGATCCACTTAAATAAATTGAAATTAAATGTGTCGCAGCAGAACAAGACCACCTATATTTCGATTTCAAATTTAAAAACTTCATTAAATCGTTCAATATCCCTCCTGCTGATAACTTTTGAATCAAACTTTTAGTTTTTATCATATTACCAATCATACTAAAGAAACGAATATATCCTTCTTCATCATAATCGTCATCTTCATTCGAAACTTTCTTCCAGATTTGTCTTATGCATTGAAATAACACCCCATGACTAACATTACCACCCATGCAACGTATAATATCGCCGCCCCATACCTTCTTCAATGAAATGCATGTGAGGGCAGTAACAGCAGTTCTGTAAACTTCTCTAGGTACTCTATCTTCATTTTCAGGCAGTACTGCGTCAACTAAGAAACTAAATATGTATGGTTCAGCCTCCAATAATTTAGATGATGTGCTTTGAGTCGAGCACATGCTACAGATAAATCCAACAGCAAGACATTTGATTTGTAACAATTTTTGTCTTAATTTTATGGATTCATATGATTTCGTATTGAAGGATTTAGCAACTGCTGCTTGAATTCCAAAGGAAAACCAAAATTCTTTAGGTAAAACGTTTGAGGCTTTATCATATATTTGTTCTAATGTTAACTTTCTAACTGATTCTTCTGGGATTGTAAAAGTTTCCAAACCTTCTTGTAAAACCAAATTCTTCTTCTGTTTCTTCTTGGCGGGCTTTGATTTGTCTTCTTTGGATGATGTAGTAGTAGATGTAGATACAGTAGATGGACCTTCCCATGGAGCAGATGAGGATGTTAATGCAGATTTATAATATTGAAAATTGATGCTTTTCCATTTACTAGGATATTTCTTTTTGGTAGTTAATGTGTCAACAAAATTGAAATGATCACCAACGATACTTGGTTTCTCATCCTTCTTTTGAGCATTATTTTTATGCAGTTGCTTTAATGCACTATCTATAGGAACCATAGGAGGATATGATCGTGCAAGTTCTAATACTTTTTGTTTTACTTGTTTAGGAGCAGCATATTTTGATGAACTGGTTTGAATAAATCGTTCTGCAATTAACACTGCAACTTCCAAAGCTCTCAATCTAATTTCAATTGATGGAGTATTGATCAAATCATAAATTCTCTCACTACTATTATAAATCAGTCTTTCAGAACAATGAAATAACAACGTGGTTGTAAATCGAAGACATGCAATAATTAAATCTTCATCAGATTTAGGTATAAGTTGTAATTTGACACATTCATCATTTAATCCATATTTCTTAATATTATCTTCAAATATTTGATCTATTCTATTCAATACTGGAATCCAATCAAATAAATCACCTTTTGGTCTAACCCATTGTAAATTTGAATTTAATTTCAGTGGCAATTCATTTATATCACAATTTGTTAAATCATCAATCAAAGGTTTCAATGGTTTAACCATTTCCATCCTTTCCATACGTTCTCTCTTTTCAATAATCATCTTTTTCACTAATAAAAATTAATCTTAGTAAAAGCAAATATAATAATAATGGCAATCAATCAATCAATCAATCAAAAGTAAATGTATTCTATCAAATTAAAACTTAATGTAAAAATATATAATTGATGATGTAAAATTTGATAAGTGGTATTATATAATTATTCTTACAACAAAGCTTGCTATTAAATAAATTGATTGAAATCAAGAAAGGAAGAAAGTCAATTAAAATGAATTTGTTGTAAATAATTAAAAGGAAGGATGGCCCAGAAAAATAAAACACACAATTTTAATTTAGTAGAAAAAGGGAAAACTAAGAAAGAGAGGAAAAATAGTTACAACAGAAGGAAGATGAGTTTATGTGAAGGATTGATGATGATAATAATGAGGGTTCACTAACAATCAAAAGGTACAAGAGAAAAAAAAAAAGAGTTAAGAAAACACAAAGCAAAGAAGTTTATACATCAAGATACAATATACAGGAACTCAGAACGCTCTAGGATATACCTGTAGACTAAATCAATTGACTCCACGCTTAACCATACTATAAATTACATCCATCTATAACCCGAATGTCTTGGAGGAAAAGGAGGAATGAAGGTGATAATCAAACCACCAAAAAATCAAAATGGAACGTCTCATCCGATGACCTGATGGAACGGAAACAGCCATCGCAAAAAGAACAACAATCATCCTCATCAAACCCAGTAGAAGGAAAAGGAGGACTTAATGTAGAACTTCATCCATTATTAAGAAACATTGGATCTACCCCAATCATACCGAAAAATCATAATCCACTTAAACAAAATATTCGAAAATGGTTTGACCCAACAGCAATAAATCCATATTTAAATCAATCAGATATAGGATTAGGCAATCAACATAAACCAAAACCATTAACTTTCAATCCAAAAGGAAAATATATTGCAGAAGGTGAACAATTACGGGAGCAACTTAAACAAGAAGCATTAGAAAGGAAAAGACATGAAGAAATAAAATTAAAAGGATTATTGCCAGATGAGAATTTAGGTGAACAATATTATAAACCAGAATTTCCTCCACTGGTTGAATGGTGGGATAGACCATATCTTCGTGATACAAATTATGATCATATTGGTGATCCTTCAAGATTGATTTTGGATAACGAAATTCAACCAATCACTTCATATGTTCAACATCCAGTATTAATTCCTCCAATATGGGAAAAAGGTGGTGACCAAATCTTACCCATGTATTTAACCAAACAAGAACAAAAACGAATGAGAAGAAATGAAAGACAAATTAAACATAAAGAAAAACAAGATAGAATCAAACTTGGATTAGATCCTCCTCCACCTCCAAAAGTAAAATTATCAAACTTAATGAATGTTCTTACAAATGAAGCAATTAAAGATCCAACAGCTGTAGAAAAAAGAGTAAAACAAGAAGTTCAACAAAGATTGGAAACTCATTTAGCTGAAAATGAACTGAGAAAATTAACCAGAGAACAACGACATGAAAAGATATTAAACAAACATGAAAAAGATCTTCTGAAAGGTCTATTCACTACCGTTTATAAGATTAACAATTTATCCAATCCAAAACATATGTTTAAAATCGATATGAATGCAAAACAACATAATCTAGTTGGAATTTGTCTTAAGAATCCCAAGTTTAACTTAGTCATTG